ATGGATTTTCTGGGTATACATTTACATGTAGATGAACCACAAAATGAAGTGTTCAACCAATTTATTCCTGTAGGCTAGCTTTTTATATCCCACCTATGATAGTAGAGGGGCATTATGTTTTTCAGGCTGTGCGTCCGTTCATCCATCTGTCCCGCTTCAGGTTAAAGGATTTGGTCAAGGTAGTTTTTGATGAAGTTTAATGAAGTCCAATCAACTTGAAACTTAGTACATGTTCCCTATGATATGATCTTTCTAATTTTAATGCCAAATTAGAGTTTTGACCCCAATTTCACGGTCCACTGAACATAGAAAATGATAGTGCAAGAGGGGCATCCATGTACTATGGACACATTCTTGTTTATACACATGGATATATATTATATATATATTCAAAATTATTCAAAATTTGATGAAAATGCTAAATTACTTTTAGGGTTCCAAAAAATACAAAGTTGTCCACAACTTGCATAAATTGGTATCTGCAAAAATAAGTTTTTATTATTAGAAATTAGATTGTGATTCTGAAGCTGTTCTTAGAGGTGTTCTGATAAGCAACCCACTATTCTGTTACTGGTACAAAAAAAAATGTAGTAGCCACCTAATGGTTTTAAGCCTGGCTATTTCTTATATAAGATTGATATAGAGATTCAGATGTGTTGTAAAATACTTGCCACCCTGTTCCACATTCTTGACAACTTTATTGATCTCAGATTAACTTGTAGCTTTTCTTCACTTATTTATACTAAAAATGAGTGGAAATTTGTATAGCCTAAAGGACAAGTTCACCTCCCCCCCCCTTTCCCCCTTGCCTAAATCTGCCTCTGAAAACTCCTCACCTCACAATTGTTGAGTAGCACCTGTTCACAAAATGGAAGGACAAAGATCATACTAACACATGTATAAAAACCTAGATTATTTCTCTTGTATCATAGAGTTTTGTGGTAGACAGTTCTTTAGTATGTACTTGTTGATACGTACATGTACATTGTATATACCCGGTAACGATAAATGACATAAACAGTAAATACAACAGAGCTAATAGAGTAAATTGTACTATTGAAGTGTGATGTCTTGACAGTTTCTATTGTTATTGTGTTATGTTTCACAATGGTTGCCAGCACCTAGTTGACCCTCACTCGCATTGTCATATATAATTAGTATTTCATTTTGTACTTTAAGAATTAAAGATTTATTTGTTTTCTTATTGTATCAATGGAAAAGATCTTTCAGTTATTCATACCTCCAGAAAATAAATATTGTTACAGCTTACTTTAGGTTGATTTTAAAGTCTTGCAGGAAAAGAAAGATAACTCCAAATGTGTTTAAGTTATCAATTTGGTTGGAATGAAACAGTTCCAAAAAAAAAAGTTGGTATAGCTAGTGAACCAATTGGTTTTAGTTGGAAAAAGGTGATAGGGAAACCCTTTTGGCAGATACTTTAGTATTTGACAGTTGTCTTTCTACGAATAATTAATAAAAACTTTGAAAAAAAAACAACATACATGTAGTTGCCACACATTACTTATTTATTTGGATCTACATGTTTGACCACATGTGTGGCATCCTCTGAACATTTGAACAGGTTTTTCAAACTCTGAAGGACATAAATTGTGGTAATGTTACATAATAATATGTATAACTATTAAAGTGAAGTTGAAAGTAAACGACTGGGTCCCATCAAATGTCTGACTTGGACAATTAAGGATAATTTTCAAAACTGGTAAATTAGAACTTCTTTATTTCTTGGCCTAAAATCTTCATTTATGGCTCATTTTAAAGAAAAAAATATCAATCTTTTATCAATGGAACAGAATAAAGTATGGGAAGGTTTAACCAACGGTTTATGCAAATGTTTACTTTGAACTTTCACTATTAATTTTATCTGAAGAAGCAAGTTGTTGACTTTGGTAGTGTATTCAGTATAAATACATATATTTAAAAAAAAAAATCTTGTCTCGTCTCGTACCTTTGTTATGAAGAAGATGACTGTTACAGATATAGAAAACTTGTTATAATAAATGGTTAAACATTTTGTCTGTAAGACTAATATGTAGGAAAAACTATTGATGTATAAAGATCTTGATCCATCTCATAGATTCTTTTCATGTGCAAAGTTTCATTCATACATGTACTTAACAACTTGTACTTTTTAACAGATGGCTTTGAAGTAATGGTTTACTTGATTGGGCTTTTATAATGTACTGTAACAGTTAAAAGGGTGATTCAAAACTCAAAAGTCTGTTTTCATGGTTGAAAGCATTAGATCTATAATTATATAATTATTCGTGCTGCAATACTTTTTGAAATATGGAGACCAACCGGGGAAACCCTCATGGATAGTCAAAGTTGTTCAAAACTCCTTTAGTTAAGTAAAAATACTGGTTATTTGTGAAATAGAAGATAACTCTTCTAACTAGGAATTATTTAAATCTGGAATAATTTTGAATTCTGGAAAATTGATAAGCAATGTATGCTAAAAACTAACCTAGACATGTATGCATGGCTATGGGGGGTTAGTTTAGTTCATACTGAAATATCAGTGATAGCAACTTGATCCTTAGCCATGCGCGCTTACCCAAGTTTTCATCATTTCTGATCAATTTTCCAGAATTCAAAATTATTCCAGATTCAAATAATTCCTTGTTTCCTGTTTTAAAAAAAAACAGTACTTCAGACTTTACTTTTCCTACTTATTGAGATACCTGAATAGAAATTTTCTTTGGAATTTCTTGATTACCAGTACAAGACGAAAATCTTTACCGACAAAACTTAACCTATAAGTGTGTACTAAGTAATGAGAGAGACTTTTGTGTCACAATTCCTCAGTTAATCAGAGCATTGAAACTTTCTGAAGTGTTGAGATATTTATTAAAAATTGTACTAGAAGCTAATGATAAAAAAATGTTTTGAAGACAATTCAAAACATCCTAATCTAGATTCTTTGTCTCTTGCCAATCTTTCTTTGTCTGTTGACCTGGCTTGTGGCATTCTGATTTGTCTTGTTGATGTATCATCCTCTGCATTCTGATTTGTCTTGTTGATGTATTATCCTCTGGATTATGATTTGTCTTGTTGATGTATCATCCTCTGCATTCTGATTTGTCTTGTTGATGTATCATCCTCTGGATTATGATTTGTCTTGTTGATGTATCATCCTCTGGATTATGATTTGTCTTGTTGATGTATCATCCTCTGGATTCTGATTTGTCTTGTTGATGTATCATCCTCTGGATTCTGATTTGTCTTGTTGATGTATCATCCTCTGGATTATGATTTGTCTTGTTGATGTATCATCCTCTGGATTCTGATTTGTCTTGTTGATGTATCATCCTCTGGATTATGATTTGTCTTGTTGATGTATCATCCTCTGGATTATGATTTGTCTTGTTGATGTATTATCCTCTGGATTCTGATTTGTCTTGTTGATGTATTATCCTCTGGATTATGATTTGTCTTGTTGATGTATTATCCTCTGGATTATGATTTGTCTTGTTGATGTATCATCCTCTGCATTCTGATTTGTCTTGTTGATGTATTATCCTCTGGATTATGATTTGTCTTGTTGATGTATCATCCTCTGCATTCTGATTTGTCTTGTTGATGTATCATCCTCTGGATTATGATTTGTCTTGTTGATGTATCATCCTCTGGATTATGATTTGTCTTGTTGATGTATCATCCTCTGGATTCTGATTTGTCTTGTTGATGTATCATCCTCTGGATTCTGATTTGTCTTGTTGATGTATCATCCTCTGGATTATGATTTGTCTTGTTGATGTATCATCCTCTGGATTCTGATTTGTCTTGTTGATGTATCATCCTCTGGATTATGATTTGTCTTGTTGATGTATTATCCTCTGGATTATGATTTGTCTTGTTGATGTATCATCCTCTGGATTATGATTTGTCTTGTTGATGTATTATCCTCTGGATTATGATTTGTCTTGTTGATGTATCATCCTCTGCATTCTGATTTGTCTTGTTGATGTATCATCCTCTGGATTATGATTTGTCTTGTTGATGTATCATCCTCTGGATTATGATTTGTCTTGTTGATGTATCATCCTCTGGATTCTGATTTGTCTTGTTGATGTATCATCCTCTGGATTCTGATTTGTCTTGTTGATGTATCATCCTCTGGATTATGATTTGTCTTGTTGATGTATCATCCTCTGGATTCTGATTTGTCTTGTTGATGTATCATCCTCTGGATTATGATTTGTCTTGTTGATGTATCATCCTCTGGATTATGATTTGTCTTGTTGATGTATTATCCTCTGGATTATGATTTGTCTTGTTGATGTATTATCCTCTGGATTATGATTTGTCACATTTAACACAACTGGTGTGGTACATATTCTGAATCTGACATTTTACTTCAGTTCCATTTTACATCACCACAATAAAATTCTTGATCTATAAGAAATAGAAAATTCCATTAGTTGTAGCAAATTAAGAAAATTGATATCAGAAATTACATTTTTAGTGCCTTTTCAGTGTGTTTTCAGATGTCATGAATGAAACAGAAAAATATGTGTAATATTGTAATAAAAAATGTATGCATGAATATATTCTTCATTAAAAACTCATTTGTTCCCTATTGATCTTGTACATGTGTTCTCTATATATGTGCTTGAGGGGAGATAACTCTAATTGATTTTTTCGATTGATTCGCTATGGTTGGTTGTACTTGGATAACAATGACAGACGCTTTGATGAATTAGTCACCTTTTGACAAATGTAGTTTTAAAGTGTAAACAAAGATGACAAATTATTAATATCATTTAAATGGATAGGTAAAAATATACAGGTGAATTACTCAGATCTGAGGGATAGAGTGTGAATATTTGCGAATAAGATGTTTTCAAAAAGTTGACACTGAAGAAAAAAAAATATTTACACCTGGATTTAATATTTGTTCCAACAACGCTGGACGGAGAACAAAGGAAAAGGAAAGTAGAAATAGAAAGTGAAATACACCAGGGAAAAAAAGGAATCTTTAAATGAGGATTGGAGTATTTACTGTACCTATTGACCAAGCTTTTTGCAAAGTGGAATAGTTAGTCAGTACCTACCAAGAGAAAGATCTTTACAGACCTGGAACAAGAAGGATCACAAATATTATCTTAAATACCAAACTGTTGAAAATCTGGTAATATGCACTTAAAAATTTGCCAAAATATTCTTTAATTAAAATTTGAAATGGCTGTTTAAATTCTCTACTTGAAATTTAACTTATTTTAAAGTGAACAACTTTAAATCTTCTAGCAGTTAATATGTATTAAATGTAAATAAATTTGTTTCCAATGTGTTTACACCTTTAATACCTAATATTTTTCATAATAACAATAAGTGTCATAGTTTAATTTGAAATGTATCACTTGTCATATTTTAAATTAAGGAAATAGGTAAAAAAAAAACTACATAATTGCAATTTAATTTTATTGGATTAGAAGATAAAAGTTATAATTTGACATGAGTGAACTTTTTATTCTATTGATCATGTAAATTACAGGATTGACATTTTCAGATATAATTGTTCTTGATAACTAATCAGATTTTTTATAATATTGATAAATTTTAATGATATTAAAAATCAATTTATAGTTTTAAATGTACTGACAGTAGAAGGTATTTTGCATTTTGTTTTTTCATTTTCCACAGCTACTGAATGTCTTCAAATATTTTAAGAGGGTATTAGCACATTTTCAATTTTAATCTGAAGTTTACCTTTGTAGTAATTGTACATGTCCAATGTCCTATTCAAGTGTTTAATTAGCAGAAAAGAATTTAAATTTGTTTATTAGAATTTGTAGGTAAAAATTTTACAATCATGAAAGATAGTAAAGTTACGTAATTTAGATATTTCAATTTATTTAAGATTTGTTAAGCAATAAGTTACATGTATATCATTATTGTAAGTCATTTAAATGAATGAGTTTTTTTATTTAAAGAGGTAGGGCTTCAAATAACAAGTGTAACTGAGTGAAGAGCTATCAACAGATTAAAAAGAGTTTAAATTTTATTTATCAGCTGAAATTTGAATAACATATTTGTATTGAAAGATAATCACACAGCATGAATCACTATGATAATCTAAAACTGGTTAGGAAGATTTTTTTGTGGGTTTTTCTAATCTAGGTTTAAATAGATTTTCAAAGTAAAAATATATGACTAAATAGGGTTAAACTAACTTTGAGTACAACTTAAAACAGTGGGAAATAATTTGTGATAATTCTGAAAACTCTGTGTGAAAAGCTCAAATTTATTGTTATTTGAACCATAGGTAATTTATGGCTGAGAAAATTCAAAAGATTGGGATTTTATTGTGGTCATGTTAGGACAGTAAACCATACTTGGTCTATAATTACCAAGTCAAAATAAATAATTAGTTGTTTAGGACCATAGTAATTTAAGGATATAAGGTTAATTATAGGGTTTTGCTTTTTTTTTGTGGAGCACTTAAAACCTTTTAGTATTTTAATAGTTCTCTTGTTTTGGTTGAATAGAGGCTGACCACAGGAATTAATCACAGGAGAAAATTATAACCACACTATCACAGAGCATTTACCACACAGTCACAGTGCATTTAGGCGGAACATGAACCAGATTCACTCTCTAATGGACTTTTTCAATTTCGCTGAGGATTAAAAATAGATTTATATCTGGACCAGATAGATAATCTGACATTTGTAAACAAGGATTGTTTATATAGACAAAATTTTTAAAGTTTAAGTTCAGGATATCAGGATTATTAATAAAACATCTGGTTGTCATTAAAAATTTGATGACAGAATTTTGACAGTTAGCAAGTACATGGACTTACAAAGCCCTGAAGGTTATTTTCTCCTTGGAGTCCTGATATTTGAGATTTTGTGTGACTCCTGCTATAAATAACACATGTTCAGTGACATAATATTTGACTAGTACATGGTGTGATGAATATTTCAATGTCTACATTTTCTGCTACTAGGTGAAACTTATAGTATCAACGTGTTGAGTGAGGTGCATTGTTTTGTTCCATTAGCGAGGAAAGGAGAATATTCAAACACATTACAAGTGCTTTCAATTAACGTTTAGAAATTAGGATTACATTAAAGCCGCCATTAATTAGCGCTTTGGAAATAAAACAGGTTTGAATATCAATTTTTGGGATACTTATCTACGTCAGTTGCAGGAAATGAAGTAATATTTAAACTGTAAGTTATATATAGAGATAGCATAGACTGCAAGTACACTGTGGATAATGATGGAAGATCAAAAGTACTATCTATTGCACTGATGAAGAGTTAGAAATAGACATCTGTTACTGTGATAAAACTGTCTTGGTTGTTCATTGCAGCTGAGAAATCTACATCACACAAGTTGCATTTTTTGCAGGATATACTTTGGAGAGAAACAGTAGAAGTCAGGTACTCCTTATAGCTGGTGTCTATTTCACTCATCTCTTTATGTTGATTTCAGCAAATTGGAATCAATTACAGTACATAACGGAAATTGACATCTGGTATTGTCTGTTGACTGATGATGCTGTTTTCTATTAATTGTTATGCAGCATGTTATGAAAACGTTGAGGAATGGAACCTAAGCCAACATATCTGAGAGAAAATAGTAAACAGATCAAGTCACATAGAAGAAAATTAAGCCAAGATATAGATATTCGGAGGGTTTATTATCCAGATAAACAAAGTGCTGCCAAGAAATTTTTTCATAACGATAATTTTCTCAATATCAAATTCCATGATCTTGATTCATCACAAGACTTCAGGCATTTGAAATATGGATTCTTAGGGGAAGACGACTTTGAAGATTTCAAGGAAGAATTAATTAACTTTAAGAAATTGAAAAATGAATGCTCAGTGGAGTTTTTAGACAAATCACCTAAAACATCTAGGAAGAGTTTATCTTCTATAATATCTCCCAAACTGGCAAGGAAAAGTTTAAGTTCTGAAAAATCGCCCAAAACTGCGAGGAAAAGTGTTCGATTTAATGACAACATAATGGAGTTTTTAAGTACAGATGAACACTTTCAAGAATTTGATCGGGTATTTGAGACTTTCAAAAGCAAAGAAATTTCAGATAATATTGACCAGTTACGATGGTCTTGGAAACAGTATAGTGAAGAGAATGATGCAGACAGCGATGAAGACGATAATCGGACAATACAAAACGATGAAAGTTTAGATGATTTGGATGATGAGGATTTATTGGATTCCACATTTGATGAAACATTCGCCGATTTCTTTGACAATGACGAGGATTTTAAGGAATTTGAGGTGGAGTTGCAGAAATTAAACTCAAAAAGACGCTCAAGGGTTTTATTGAATAAAATAAATAGAACTTCAGGTTGTGATATTGTAACAGAATTAAAAGCTTTCTGTGATAATGATCCAACGGAAAAATACGAGGCCATGGCGGCAGAGCCTCGCTTATGGAACTCAGGTGGTGAATGGGATTATATTTTTAAGAAAATCAAACGTCGTAGTTGCCTATCGTGTTCAAGTCTAGCAGCAAGCTGTGATAGTATTCAAGAGGATTTAACTCTTCCAGACTGTGATTGTGTCTTCCATAATGATGTAAAAACAAAAATTGACAAATGCTCATCTTGTGGCAATCTTCAAAATATAGACAATCAAAATGGTGGTAAGTTTAAGTGTATTAAACTCTTAAATGGAATGGATGATACTGATAGATCTTTGAGTTTGTATAATGCATGTACTTGCATTTTACAACAAGTGTAATGAAATTGACAACATATTTCTAGTTGAAAACAGTGTAGTAATTCTTTAAAAGAATCTGTGTTGTGACAGTCATTGGTTTTCTTGTTTGAATTGTTTCACATTCTGTCTTGCAATGCCTTGTTATTGGTGACTATACAGTATGGGTTTTGCTCATTGTTGAAGACTGCATGGTGACAAAAGTTGCTTACAACCACATCATTTGGACTCTGGTGAATTGTTGTCACATTGGCAATCATATATCATCTCCTGATTTTGAATCTTAAGATTTATCTTGGAACTTTCTATAACAGTAGCTTTCCTCATTTCTGTTCTAATATATGAATTTGTGCCTTCATTTGCTTCACGGTCAAGTTTTTGTATTCAAATCTATGCAACTATTCAACATTCTTCCTAAAAACTTTTGTTTATAGTTTGTCCAGATTCCAAATCATATTTAATGTGCTGTGACAATGATAATCTTGAGGGGGAGGGAAGTAATATTGACTTAGCAAGCATTCTTCTGGATAATGTATATTTAATTTACAGACTTATTTTTTCTGGGCAGTTCAGAAATGTTCTGGTAAAAGATAGCAACTACCATCTGTTAGTTGTAAGCTTATAGTACTTAATGATAAGTTTATTTGCTAATTACATACATGAATAATAATGGGGATACATAATTAGGTTTTCTGGTTACTACCTGTAGGGTCACCATGGCTACTATACAAATGTGCATTAGTTATAACCTTAAAGTTCTACATAGAAATTGTAGGTTTGGAAAAATGCAAACTTTCAGATTCCAAAATTTTGTTGTACAGAAAATATATTTACACAAAACAGTAATTTGACATTTTTGAAGAAAAAATTCTCATGAAGCAATTCCTTGAATTGAAATTATAGTATCAAATAACTGATATAGTTTGACTTAAAGCAATTGAACACGCTAAATTGGGAAATTTTTGGTGCGACGACTTTTGCTATCTACACGGATGGCATATTATTTTACCAAAACTTAACCCAATCCTTACATTTTACTGTCCTTTTAAAACGATTAAAGCATGGTAAGAGGCAGTTGAAAGTGAATAATAAACATGGCGAAGACTCAATCCCAAACAAAACACAATGCGAAATAGAAATAACTAATATACAGACTTTAGAACTTGCATGTTTGCAATATGAGATTATGAGTGATTTGATTCTACAAGTGAAAGTTACATGTAAATAGCACTCTCAAATGTCTGTGAAATTGAATCACAAATGTCATTGAAATTGATTTACTAGCTAGCTATCAACATGTTTGAAACTAGCTTCCAAATAATTTATTCATAAACCAATCTACTAATGAATATTTATACTGTAAAAGTCTTCATTTTAGGAGGTTCTGTTAAAATTTAAAGATGCCATCTTGAAAATTGACTTTGTAGATATTATATAAGATACTAGTTGACTGAAATGATTTTGACCTGTCACCAACTTTAATCACATAATCTATCTTGATCAGGTTACAAATTTGTCTAGTTTTCTGATGACTAAATCAGATATGTAACAAATTCATAACAATAAGTGTTCTGTTAATGTTAATTTCCTTTGGGGACATTAGTGACAGTCACTGGAAAGGTCTCCAGGTCCATATCAGCTGATTTTTTAATGATGTAAATCTCAAAGGCCCATTTCATTACACAGATTGTTCATTTCACTTCAGAGATAATTTTGTCATTTCATTGGGTCTGGCTTTTGTCTGATAGTGACAATGTCCGGTCAAGCGGTCAATTCATGTTTAGCTATTGCATATTGAATTTGAATATCTATAAATGGGTATAATTAAGTGTAGTATATCTTTATATGTCAAGGATGAAATGTGATTGATAATCTTTTGAACCTTGAACAAATATCAACATTGCTATGAACTTGAAGTATGAAGTGATGGTCCTTGTTACATTTCATGTTTACCTAACTAGCTAGCTAGCTGCTTCTTTCATGTGTTACTGTAGTTATTATCAAGTAAATTTTGGAACAATGCGATATGTTTATTCACTGAAATATGTAATGTGGTTTGTGGATCTACTTATAGTTTATTTGACTGCACATTACACAATAACACCATATCTTTAAGATACTTGACAAGGTCTTGAAGTGTGTTATATATATGTAGTGATTGAGGAAGCTTGTAAAAGTTAAGATCCCACCAATTGTTTATTGTTTTTCACTGGTGATATGATCCATCATGTGGATCATTTGACATTTGCTAACTGATAAAAGTTTCAGAAGTCCATAGCACCAGAAATATGTCTATATTGTTAGTATTTGACAGGCATTTAGGCTACATCTTTCCTTTTTTCATAACTTTAATATGTTATCAGAGAGTGGGTTTTTTTCTCTTCCTTTGTGTGTCTCCAGATACATGTGGTTTTCCTTTTTTCACATTCTTCATATGTTGTCAGAATCCCACTTTTGGGTCCTCAATGCTCTTCAGTTTTGTTTTTTGTTTTGTTTTCCAGCGTCACTGATGAGTCTTTTGTAGACGAAATGTGTCTCTAGCGTATAAAGTTTTAATCCTGGTATCTATGATGAGTTTATAAAGTACTAAGGAAATGCAAATCTTAAAGGATAGGGCCAAAATTTATGTATTGGGGCACTGCCATCCATAAATCCTCTTGGGGAAAACAGGATATATATATATATTACCTTTGAAATTGTTACTAGTTGAAAGTACAGACCCTCCTTAAAACAAACCAGACTTAATTTTACATAGGGTGTAATTACTGTAATTGACCAAATGATTCCCTTGTGTTACATGAAAATGACATAAGAAACCAATTAGTTCCAGACATTACAATCAATCAGTTCACCTGATGGGCTAGGTATTACATAACATTAAACAAATTGATGGTATTTGTAGAATTGATGTTTGAGAGAGGTTATTGATGGAAATGGGATCTTGGATGTTAATTTCCATGGAAAGGAATGGTTGAAATTGATTCAGATTACATAACAGAATAAAATTTGCCATCAGTTGTAGTGTCTAGTTGTCTAGATTTACTCCAGACTTTGCAAATAAGCAGTTTTATCCTTTTGTCCTTGTTTTAGATCAATGAAAGATCAATTTAACGTAGAAATCTGATACTTCTAATGATTTTTGTACCTCTATTTGGTAACTGATCTTACAAAAAAATCAATTCATATGTTAATTTTCTTGCAAGCGGTCAGTTTTATTTTATTTTCCAAAAAATTTGAAGTGTTGAAATTAAAATTATTCAGGTAAAATCTTTATCAAGGTAAAATTACCTGCAACAAGCTGTTTCGCCTCAACAAAATTGATTTTAGCACCTAACAGTTGTTTAGTAAATAGCTCTTGATAAAATAAATCTGCAAGAAAATTGGTTCTATGTTTTGGATTAAGTTTCATAATACACTCTACTAATCTTGTAAATTGATTGCTTTAGTTGAAACATCTATATTTATGAATAGTAGAAAAAATACTGAAGATTTTAATTATTTTTCTTATAAAACAATAATTATTTGCTATTAGAGCATTGATATAAACACAGAACTTGTATATGTAATAAATCATTTCTGAAAAAAAAATAATAAGAAAAAAATTAATTGATGTTCCTTGTTTCCTTAATTGATTATGCAGTCTTTCAATTAAGAACTGGGCTATTATTGTCCACACCCATTGAAAATATGTAAACTCTTTTCCGTGTTTTTAAATAAATTTGTTTACTAGTATCTGCCTCTTTTTTATTCATGTTTGGCTAATCTAATAAACCTTGAAGTTTAAAATTGATGACTACTTTTTTATTAGATACATATAAATATCTTTAATGGCTTATTAAATTTAGCTAAGATTTAAACAGATCTAACATAACACTAAAGAAGAAGGGTGACATCAAAAAAGTAACCTGCTAATTTACATATACATGCATGCAGGAAAAAGGAAACATTTTTCTATAAAAAAAACATAAAAAACGGTAATTTTTGTGATAAGATCTTTAGGATGAGTCAGTGTTATCTGTTGAAACCACCATTAAAACAGAAATTGCCTCACTTTCCATCTGTTTTCCTCATTCAAATGATTGATAAATAATCAAAGAAACATGAAGAATTGTTACTTTTTATAAGTATTCTGAGGAAAGAATTCACAGTTGGGATGACATTTATAATAAACTTAGCACCCTGTAATCAAAAGCATCAAATTGAAATGTTGTTAGTGGTTAATTACTTCTCAATCCTAAAAAAAATTTAATATAAAAAGACAAAATGTTTGTTGCAGACATTTCTTGAAAGGGAAACTGTCCAAATTGCATGTTATACATGTCATAGCTGACAGAATGCAAGTTTCCTTTGAATATAGAAATTTCCAAATTTCAAGGTTCAATATTTTCTGAATATTAGCGCATACGTATGCATGTCAGGACTTGTGTTAGCTTTGTGCTCTGATTTACTGACTTTGCTTTTAATTCCTACATGTCAGAAGTCATGTACACTTTTCCTTTGGTATGGTGTCAAAGTAAGTGCATTGTGATGATGTGTATTGCCTATTTAGCCCAGTACAACAAATTTTGCTGTTAACTGGTACCAGTGTTACATGTATAAATTTGAGCAGGACATGTTCATTTATATTATCTTCAATCACATCTCCTTTCCGAATGCACTATTCAAGACTGTGGTAAAAGTTTGTTAAAATTTATCAAATTAAAAATTAATACTTTGAGCAAATAACTTCACATTAAAGCAATATACTGAATTATTGCACTCTGCTGTCTCTTATGTGGCATTTAACAGCTATATTTTATGTACATGTATGAGGATTGGATATCAAATTTAAAAGCAATAGTAAAACAATCTTTGAAAACTAGGTCATTGTGACCTAATTTTAAAAGTGTATGGTAAATAGTAATACTAATAAGTTACATATGCATGAAAGAAGACTTTTCATTAAAAGAGAAAATTGACCATTCATAAATCTCTAATGATTGATTTAATTATCTCTGGGAATCTTGTTGCTTCTTCCCACCATGTTCTGATAGGAAATATAGATTTATCTACATAGAAATGTTAATCATTGATGGGGGATCTATTTTTGGAGTCAGTTTTCTGAAGTGACCTAGGATCATTGAAGATAAGATAGGTACATCATGCTGTACATTTTAGATATCAGATAAAATGTGTAATGATAAAGAGATGTACTGGGGTAGTTTTATCTTGATGTTAGTGGTATGCATTGCTGCATCTTCATGTTTGTGTGGGCCTTTGTTTATTTGGAGGAGAGATACTTTTCTTTGTGTTGAATCAAACAAAGGAAAAGTTAACTTTTCTGAACATAAACATTGAATCAGTTAACGTTTAGTCAATTATTTATTGTTGTTAGATCCATGTTTATATAAACATGATAACAATGGAAAACAAGAAACATTTGGTTTACAAATTGGAGGGGACAGTAAGCTAATGTAAGGAATTAAAACTGCCATTACCAAAGTTTTAGCTTTGTACATAAGAGTGCTTAAGTTAAAGCTTTAATTTTGTAAATTTGCCTCAACATGTTTAAAAAGAAAAGTTATAGGATTTCAATAATTTTCTGGGATGAAAATGTGTCGTAATATTTTAAAGCCTATCTAGACCTCTTTAAAGCATGCATAGAATGATCAAATGCAACAATTTCAAACTATAGATAGTTAGAAGAACACATTTATCTGTTGAGGGATGGTGCAAATGGGGTTCAGTGATTCACATTCAAGCAGCTTCTTTTAAAATATCCTGAATTGCAAAAAAATGTTTTCATCATTCTTAAATAAACTGTGAAAGCTTTTTTCCTGTGTATTTTGCACCTGTTTAGTTTCAACACTTTTAGAAGACAGGGTTGCCTATTTTATGTGTTTATGTATAGTTTACTCTTTTGACATTTTAATGAATATATTACAACAATATTGATACACATCATATAAATAAAGTCTTTGATCTTTTCGAGCTTCCTATGTTTATATAACAGTGAATGTCATGATAATAACAAGCTTCTGAAGATTGAACTTAGTTGGTGAAGAAAATGGCTTTTATCTGGCTTTCCTTTACAGATGATTTGGGCATGTCTTAAAAGTGACTTGATATTTGTGAATTCTTGTATTCCTAACATAGTGATTGCATGTTTGAAAATGTGTCCTTTAACTGGTTTGCACTTGGGTAAAAGTTTAATAGCATTAAAGGTCCATTAGGAACTACATTAATCTTCACTGGATTACTTCATGGTAGTTAATATCTTATACTTATCACAGTATTGCTTTTTAATTTGATCACTGTTGTAACAGTGTAAGGTCTTAACCCAGTCTGAGACTCTCTCCAACTTATTCCAAATACACTATTGTATACCAGACAGGAAAATCATGTATTTAGAGATGTCCCGGGTAATTTTTTCAAAACTATTTTTAAACTGAATTTGAAGGTTTTCTACAAATAGACACTAGAGAATGACCATTTAACTTCAAGGGGGGTTTATGGTTTTTTTCTAAAAAAATATTCTGATCCCCAATTTGATGAAAAAAATTATTGTGGTCAAGCAGAAGACCAAGAAAAAATATTCTGAATCCAGATTATCCCCATACCTTATAGTGTTAAATTTAAAAAAAAATAATTTGATTGATAGCGTCGAAAAACTAAAAAAAAAATGTTTGTGCTTTGTGCAAAAAAAATTTCTGCTTCAGCCAAAATCCATAACCCCTCCCCCCCCTTTTGAAGTTAAATGGTTGCTCCCTTAGGGGTCTTACATTTCTAATACTCCTGCAAACAAAATTTTGGTGAATACAAAAAATTTCCTTTCCATATAAATCTTGAATGTGTCTGTTAAAATTTTGCATTCTACCTCTTGTTTAGTAGGACATCTTTTTTATATATGAATGTGAGTGATATTTAGTGCATTTAGAAATAATCAAATTGGTGTCTTGGAATGAGGTTAATATATGTACTGTATTTGAAGTGTTAGGAACAGTAGTTTAATGAGCTTTACTTAATACAAAACCACAAGTATTTTTTCATTGAAGAAAGATTAAGCTGTATAATACATGTATTAAATGACGCATGTTATATGTACTTAGCCTAATTTACATATTTTCATTTGCATTTTAACATAAAAATGTATTGTTTTATTTTCAGACTGTCATTTTACATGTCACCAAAATTGTGGTGCGTTGGTACGGCTCGGTTGTAAATCTAAATCGTCACCAGACCTAGCAGGTCAAACAGAACCGCCCTTACTAGAGCCTACAGACACCTTACAGACAGTTTCTTCAGACGGCAGCTCAGAACCAACCAATGTAAGGCTTTGTATAACACAAATATAATCTGAGGCAAAAAAATCATAATCTTATTAATAATGTTATGAAATAGTTTAAAAAATCACAAACTGAAAAAAGCACTCCCAAAAATCACAATGATTCAAGAGACAGATGGTAGGAAAATTAGTTTCTGAAAGACAATTTTCTTTATCAGATATAATCTGAATATAGTCTCAAGTTGCATTTCTAAAACAGATTTTACCATCCTATACGCTTGGGACATTTTAATTTCTTGATATGTGCAATGAAAGTTGTGTTATCAAGATGTGATAAAAATGTAGTGGAAAAATCTTTGAATAAAATACAGCTGTATGGGAAAACTGAAGATTATATATTTGCTGAAGCAGTCAAAACACCCAAGAAAAAGTAACACAAAGCTTTCATTGAACAAAAAGATGTAGATTTCATCATAATATTATATATGCTATCACTATGTCAATATGCACATATATTGGGAACTTTCTTATATATATATATATATATATATAGATTTATGGTCATGCATTTTATATTGGAAATATATGCAAATTATTCTATTTGGATGTAGCAGCTTGAATTAAGGTACTCAAGCACATCTTGAATATATCAATACACTTGTATACATATATAAGAAATCACTTAACTGTTGATTTTAACAACAACAAAAATGTTAACAAGAAAATACCAAGAATAAATTAATTGAAAAAGGGGAAACATGTTAAATGTTTAAAAAAATTACTTTTTTAAGATAGTATGATAGTCAGCAATGAGAACTTTTAGGGGTACTTTTGAGAATCCTGTTAGTATTTACCAAACAGAGTTTGTAAAAAAATTCACTGATTGCATCTTAAATTAATTTCTCTTGATTTACCTTGAAACAATTAAATGCAGCTGTAAGATGCTATTTGAAAAAATTTTCTATGCCTAGGATGCGATAGGAAATTTCTTGGGAGAACATGTCACTTGGTCTCTTGTGGAGAGTTGTCTCATTGGCAATCGTACCACATCTTCTTATTTTTTTATGTCTTTACATGTGTCTGATTAAGTAAGTCAACTAGTGCAAGTCAACACAAATTGCCATAATAATTTGTCCTGATATCCTTATAAAACTTCTTTCAGCTGTCATTCATGAAGTTTTCATTTTTCGTTAAATACAAACTGAAGGTCGATACATAATAAGTCTTACATTGGATTGAAAAGAACCTACCAGTCTTGAGGGAGAAGATTATTTAACAGTCCCAACAAATCTAGTCGGTACTAAAGAACCAAAAGATTTTGGCAAAACTGTGATACCTGTAGTTAAAAATTGTAAAGTGGAAAATTTCTGAAAATAAGATAATTTAGCATTTAAGATAAATTGGTGAGACAATCCTTTTGCACGAGTTTGATCTTTAAAGAAATTCACAATAAGGGAAAGCAAAACCACTGATATAAAGTTTAACTCTGTGAATAGCCCAATTTACAGTACATTAAAATCATGACTTTTGTATATTTTGTAGGAGAAGGACGAGACTGATAGTGGGTACAGATCAGGGACGATACCTGAAGAAAAATTACCCAGAAAGCCAAGTCAGGCTACACTTAATAGAGAGGAACTCAAACTGAAAATAGAGGAATATAACCTGCTGGTTCCAGGGGCAGAGTTCTCTCTGGTAAGCTTACTATAGAAAGGAAAACACAAGTAGTGACTAAGTTCATTGTTTAATTCATTGGCTTCTTAAAATTTTTTTAAAACATGGGCTGTGTTTGGATATACGCCTAAGGCAGCCTATGGTTACCCATAGGTATCTTTGGGTACCCATGGTTTGGTATTTTGATATATAGAATATCAAACCAAAGGTACCTATGGATAACCATAGGCCACCTCTGGCGTATATCCAAACACAGCCATGGTAGTAAATTGTTTGGAATAGGATACATAGCTAGTTCATTTCAATGTCATAAGAAGATACCTTAAAAGTCAATAATACCCATTGCCAAAAAGATAATAAATATTGATAGATAATTTCGTAAACCGGATTTGATGGAAGTGTTTTTTTTTCTGATCATTATCGTGCATATCAACAAGCATATATAAAACACATCAGCCATACCATGGTTATCATTTGAACATCAAATTACATTTACAAATGTTACATAATGTTTTTATAATTAGAGAAAAATTTACATCTGAATGAAATTTCAGAGATATAAATTGACAGTCGAATTCTGTACCTATTATGTAATTTAGCGTTATATTCGTGAAATGTTAAGTGGTTGGAAAATTTGTTACAACTTTTCTCTTATAAAACAAATCTAAAGGATTTCAAAGATAGTTGAAAGGACTTAGGAAATATTAAGTGTACTAAATTAGCATTGGCGGATGCTGAAGCTAAATACCCTGAATTTTGTAGGTAATGGAAAAAGAGAGAATAGATTGCCACTAAATTAAGTCAATATTGCTTCCTTTGAAATGTTCTTTAAAAAGAAATATAAACATTAAATAGTTTTAATGTTACATTCCTTAAACTTTGTGAATATCCCCATTTACTTAAAATACTTGATCCACCTATGGACAAAGGGTCACTAATATTCTCTAGTATATCATTTTGACACCCACATTTGTAAATCAATATTGATTTTGATAAATGTCAACAATTTGAAAAAAAAAGTACAGACAGTTGAAGAAAACTGTTTTGCTTCCTGTACATTAAGATATTTTCAATATTACTGTGTATCCATTCAGGGGAGTCTCATTGGGGGTTCTGATCCCGAACCCAGCATCCCGCTCATTGTTTTGTCAGAATCCTGTATCCCGCTTATCATTGTAATAATAGCGCTTGTAATTTCACGTGACCCACCCAACACCATTTCCCGTTTTCATGCAAAATAATTTCACGTGTCACGCTTAATAAAAATCTGCCAATCCAACATCACTCTTACTCCCCCAATGAGAACCACATTCAGGATTCACAGAATCATCTAAAAACGATAAATTGCAATTGCTTTTGTCATCACTTTAAATTTTGGAGCTTTCTGTTCTATCCATTATTTACAGTCATTTGTCGACTCTACATTTGAATAATGAGGATTTATATTGTATCTAAACTGATTTTGTATTGTATGATAATATTTATTTTATGGTTTTATGTTTTGGGGTTATTTGTTTTGTTATATATGCAAACAATATTTCAGGTCATGCTAGATTTTGACTGTAAGATTATTGAACTCTATCAATTTATACAGATGAATGTCAGAACAAAGAACATAGCTTTTATTTAACTGATTCCCATCAAATAGCTCTTTGTTTGCATCAGTTCTGATAACTATTTTTATATGAGAAATAAAGAAAAAAACCAATTGATCAAAAAATGAAAGAATTTTATTTCCTGTGAAGAGTTACCAATTCTATTGTGAAAAAGGAAGTATGTTTAATAGTGTTCCAATATTAGTTGTTAACAATATAATAATTATGTTCCTGCTTCAGCTAGTTTCCCTGTATATATACACTTTATAGCTAGTTCAGCAAATGTGAGGACAGAGTCTTTGTGAACTAGGAGAGATGTAACATGTGTGAAGATGAAACTGAGAAAAATATTTTGAAAATGAACTGACCTTATTAGGCAATAACTATTTTATAGAATTTCTCACATAAGGAAAAGATTCTTTTTATGATTAGTCACCATTTTCACTGTAGTAATGTGGATTTCCAATGTTTTAATTTAGAAATTGATAATTAGAAGGTAGTCTCTTTTAAGGAGTTGTCTTTCTTGGGAGACATTTGAAACAACATACCATACAACTTTGCAGGTTTATTATTTCATAGCACATAGCATGGGTCACATTACCAGCATATGTTCTCATTGAAATTTTGTAACTTTTCTGATTATATTATTAGTTTTTTTAGTAGAATTTATAAATGCAGATGTTGTATGAATGTTTTTAAGATAGAAAATGTGATATACCCGTTGAGGCTTGTACATAAAACATCAGGTGAAATACCATGGAGGCCCAAAAAGGAGGGCTTGGATAATTTGAGAAATGAGAAAATAATAAAAATCAAAAACAATTTGAAAATAGAAGCCAGAGAAAAATGTTTAGCAATTTAGTAAAGGCTTTAAGCAGAATTCTACCAACAGACAAGAAATATAAATTAAAACATTTCACTATTACAGTTGGATGGCTGTTTAATGTTCATTGGCAAATTAAATTCATATTCAAGATCTAGACGATAATGATAATATGATAAATTGATATGAATATAAACCCTACTTTGTACTAGAGCAACATGCTGAGTCTGACTTTTAATGTGCTGGTTCACAAGGTAACGGTCCACAGATAGACATATCGCCCTATAGCTACCTGCACACATTAATTTGATACTGAGCTTACCAGTGTTCTCTCTGGTGCTTAGCAGAGAGGCAACAAATAAAAAAGTTCAAGACTTTGTTTGGACAAACTAGGGTTCGAACCCATGATCTCCTGCACTCGAAGAGAGCATGCTACCAGGAGACCACTAAGGTGGTATATTACAATAAAGGTTTTATAGTTCATGCGTATGAAACTTAAAAATTGTACATTTTACTAAAAATTCCTAACAAATTTTCAATACAGGTAACTTACTTCAGACAAACACTCAAATGACTAAGATAAATCATTTTATCGTTTGTCCTCTACTATTGTTGTTACAATGGTAGGAGAGATGACCATCATATATATTGTCTATTTACATTTAGCATGATGGAAAATCTTAATTCATCAGATGTTTTAATCTAGATTGAATTTTGCCATTAAAAATGTGCATGGCTGTCTTCTGATGAATTTTCATAAGTATGAAGAAAGAAGATGGATGAATGATATGGTGTTGAAAGTTTGACTAATTTAGAATGGTAAACTGGTTGATTCAAAACATACTTTGAAGAATTTTCCATTTTCTCATTTTAGAAATTGCAGTAGAATATAAAAATTGTAATAAATATCATGAAAGTCAATACAAGGTTAATTTATTTTGATTTCAGAAAGAAGACAAGGGTCAAGCATTCCAAGGATTTTTAAGGGTGACGTTAAACTTGTCTCGTCCAATATGCATGTCTCTTGGTGTTCGACCTCCATCCATTTACGAAGCTCTCACCAAAGAACACATCATTGAGCAGAACACTATGACGATGTCCTTTTATATGCCCAGAGATACAATGAAATCCATACACGTTCCAAGGTAAATAAAAAATATTATTCTAAAACTATTAAATACTTATACATGTAATATATTATTTGCATAATAGCTTTAAAGCAATGTTGAAATGAGCACACAGCAAACAGGGAAGTAAAATTTTTTTTTTATAAAAACCACTTTTGGTAAATAATTTATCAGTAATAGAATTAAAAGAATTATGCTTAAGTAAGCAATTGTTTTAAGTTCAATGAAAAATAGTCCATTATCTATCTCTTTACCCTTAAAGTTAAACTCATAAGTAGTACAAACGATTTCATGCAATTTTCCTACATGTAAATGTCAATTTATACAATTAATTGGTACTTTATGGTAAATTCTTGTATTATATAACTTTAAGGGAAAGGTTAAGTTGATAAACCATATTCGTTTGTTTTGATAGATGGTAAACTGTAAAAATGTCATAATTTGAGATCTTTAGAATTGATAAATTGGTATTATATTTACATTTCTGTAAAAGAATTATGTCATACTGAAATTAGGATACATGATTTTTTAACATTTAAATGCATTAAAAACATCAAAAGGAATGATAAGTTCAACTTCTGGCACTGAGATTTGATAACCCTTTTAATTTGTCATGCTTAGATCATTTTCTTTTTGTGTTCATTTCGGTTTTGTAATTCATCATGAAAAAGACATTTCATTGACTAAATATAATTCACAATCTCGATAACGAATAACTTCACTTTGATTTAGATTTATTATAAAAAAAAAAAAATGAACGTGGAATGATCAAAGATAGGACTTTCTTAAAGAAGTTGTGTAATCAACCCATTATCTTATATTCTGTAAATATTTGAAATTGAAATAGAATAGACAATTTACGAGACAAATCGCACGATCGGTATTTAATTACAGTTTATGACATCTATGTAATTCACAAACTTGCATTTTAGAAGATTTTGAAAGCTATTGTAAACATGAAAGTCAAAATGAGGTATTGAATTAAAAATAATAGTGATTAAAAATTTTGCTATCAAAGAAGAATGCTGAATTTATTTTCATGATAATTTTATTTGCAAATTACACCCATATGGTTCAAGCAAGAACACAAATAAAACACGTATAAACAACAAAAACACAATAAAGACGTCAGAACTGGTAATTTATGTAAACAAAAAATCCTACAGTGGCACTTGAAAAACAGGTTATATCAGGTATATCCTTGTGACTGGAAAGGCTTGTACCTGTAATTTACATTGTGACAACTTGAAGTATGTTGAGTTCTATATTTGGAAAACCAAATTTAGTGCATATGAAATTTAGGTTAATGTTATCTAGATAAATGCACCTTGAGGTTTAGTTTAATATTATATTTAAATTGCAGATAAGATGAAATCAAATGGTGATTCAAAATTTATATTTTCAGTATTATCTTTCCAAGAAAATTAATATCATTTGAAACGATATCATGTTAGTTTCAAGCAATGTATACATGTATTCCTAGTAATATAGGAGTATCTTAAAAGTATAAGGTATAAAAAGAGCCATTATTTGGCCCCTGAAATTCCCAAACTATAAATTCTTCACTCATTGTATAATAATTTTAGTTTCATAATAAATGAATAAGATAAATATGTGTATTACATCTGAAACCATAAATTTGTAGACAAGTTATAAAAGATTATTTTTTGGACAAATTTTCAAATCTGTTTTGTCTTTAAAGGGGCACTATAGTTAGCTACGAGATATATGAAAAATCTTAATATGTGATTTTTTTTTGTTCAATCATTAATGAAAGTGAAATAGTGAAATAATTATTCGCTTTTAGCTGCCAGTATGGTTCAATTTTGTCAAAATAAGCTAAGAAACATTGATGATGAATTATTCACTTGCAAGTGAATAATTCGACCTCATTGAATCCGTATTCATGTGAACTTCAATTTAACCTCTTAGCTAGAGATGGATAATACGTGAATTGAGTGTAAAGTTATTTAAAGGAAAAGAATGTCAACATTGAAAGTGAAACAAAGGTAAATCATTTGATTGACTGATCTGATCCACAAAAAATCAATCTTATACAGGTAAAAACGATGATAAACATATATTTTTAATCTATAATATGAAATTAAACAGACCTAGAAAAATCCAATAGCACGAGTTCGCTTAATCTATTTATATCTTTTTTTATGTTAACATCGCTTTAAATATATGGTCATCGGATGACTTTGGAGGTCAACTCGATAGTTAATTAGATGGCGTTTAGACTAAAATACACACGAAACGAAGCTACGTGTTATTATGCCCATGTCCTGTTAACTGTTTATTTTAGACTTTAAATAGTTTGGATAAATGTTTTACATTATTATAAATCAAATATGAGAATTTGAGTCAAATCGGTGAACATGAATTTGACAGCTAGTGCCCCTTTAACAGTAGCTGAAATTTGCTAATTTGGAACTCAAGTTAATATTAAGGCAAAGTCACTTGAAGCAAGCTTTAAACCTGACAATATTGATTTCATTACCTAACATTTATTCAAATACATAGCAAAATTCAGAAATTTTTGCTTGCAAGAAAATTGGTGAACACTTGTACTGCTTAAAGATTAGCATTTGAGGAGAATGTGAATTTCATCTTCCACCTCATCATTGAATAAATTATAAAATCTGTCTTCAGCTTTCATTTAAGAATGAATATCCGTGTTTGTCAATTGCTGTTTCTAATGTTTATTAGTCCACTACCGACGAAGTCAAAGGGGACTTTAGGTTTGTACTCCGTCCGTCCGGCAAGTCAGTTTTCCACACTTTTTTTCTTCGTGCTTGAAGATATAGATTTGATATTTGGTGTATTGTTTTATCATGACAAATTACAGATCAAGTTCAAATTTTGTTCCGGTCTGATGATTTTGTGCAGAGTTATGGTCCTTGGACTTAGAAAATTCACTAAATCAGTTTTCCACACTTTTATTCGTCATGCTTGAAGATATTGACTTGATATTTGTTATATAGTTTACACCATGACAAGTTATAGATCAAGTTAGCATTTTGTTCCAGTACAATGAATTTTTAACCGGTAGGGGACTATGTATTGCCATGCAATACTCTCAGAATGCTTGTTAAATAACAAACATTCAAAATTGAATAAAATAGATTCAGATCATATATGGTTTGTCCTGGTTAAAGGTTAAATGTATTTATTCAGTCCTATCTTTTTTTTCAGTGTATCATCCTCAAAAGAAGTAATTGCTTTACTACTGAAGAAATTCCACATCTTGGATAATCCAAGAAAGTTTGCTCTGTATGAGCAGGAACTCAGCAGCAGGGGTAAGATAGGTAAGTAAAACATAACATGTTACTACTTGTCCCATGTTAAATTTGGGATACAAATTTAGTTAGTTGTGTGAGAAAAAAATTATAGAAACATCATTTGGTGCTAGAATTTCAACAAAAATTCATATCTAGGTTATGTGCTATGCCATATTTATTTTCAGTGTCAGGAATTCTTGTTAGTGAGTTTCTTATGTTTTATCTTATCGGTTTTGTCATTTAGGGAATTAAATATTGATGGTTTAGTTTCTGTTAAATTAACAATATTTTCTAGACTAAGGAGATTTAGAGCATCGCATATTGTATAGGCACTTGTCTCTTACTGAAGATTATGTGTTGACCTGCATATGTCTCTTTGTGACTATGGGTTGTTGTTTCATTACCAAACATCTTCTTTTTAACATATTGTAATAGCAATACCAAGGCTGCTGTGTTAAAAGCAATTACTCAAACCAAATAAAGGTTATGATTTGAAATTTGATATAAGAATGTTGTCCTTAGTACTCCTTGCAGAAAGTTACTCCTTAGTTTGATATTTGAGAATTTGTTTTAAAGAATTAAAATTATATTTCAAAAATAATATCTGGTTGCTGACATGATCAGTTTCAGTGTAACTGTATGCCAGTGTTAATCAGTGTTTTCTTTGATAAATATTTTGGTGATTCCTTTCTGAGCATTATTTTGACCTGATGTATAAAATTATCGTTTTAATGAATTTAATTTAACAATATCTTATGGTATCATAGGAATTCTTGTATGAATCATTTGAATAGTTTGCATACATCCTTTTATTTCATGGTTAGTTAAAAGAATTATACAGATATCTCATACATTTCCGATTAGTATGCTGAAAATTTTGTCTTCAAGACATGATGAGCATAATATACCACACAACAATCAGCTTGAAGTTATATACCATGTAATATACAAACCTGTGAAAAGCATATCTGATAGGTAATAGCTGTCATGGGAATACATATAATTAATGTTTTGTTGAAAAAGTGCATGTTGCTTCCAGCTGAGTGCATTAATTACAAACTACAGATAATGTACAAAGCTGCTTGACTGTATATTTAGCTGTAGGGGAACATGTTTTGTATGATTGGTTTATATTATCACTTAGACCTTTGAAACTACTCAGAATTTAATAGCAGCAAAGGAGTAGGTCCATGAGGGGCCAATATTGAAATAAGATAACACTTATTTTAAGATTTTTTTTTTATTGCTGATCATCATCTTGAAATTCACTTGAAGGTTTCCCTGGTTGCTATTGGAGCTCACCTCTCAGCAAGATCAAAATGCCTTGTAAGCATTCAAGTGAAAAAGAATTAGAATAATCAGTGTAACTTAGAAGCATAGAATATATCAATGAAAATGGTTTTGACACAAATGTTCCAGTAATTTTAAGGAATAATATCCCTTTATCTTGTTCTACCTCATCATCCATTGTTATTCACTGTAAACCACTAAAAATATTTTCGAAGGTACATTTGAGGTTATAAATAAATTACTTATTTTAATAGTGACACCTTATGTTTTATTTTATATTTATAGTAAAGCTGCGGAGGGTTCCAGATGTAGAATGTCCTCTACTGACCTCACTAGAATGGGACCCAGACAAGTTGTCTTATATCAGATTGGTCCTTCAGGAAAATGAAACTGGAGATATAATGGTAGGTTTATTTCTAAATAAATTGCATCAATAAAATCCATTTATACCTTTGATCTCAAGACATGAGGTATAAATCATGCTATATACCAGTGCAGAGAATTGGGGGTAGATTTACACAAGAAAAACATTTTTTAAGGCATCACGTTTTTTAAATCACAGCCAGAGTAAAGAGATATATAGTAATAGTGACAAGAAGGTATTTCGGACTGATGTATACAAGAAAAACATATTTTTTTTCCTCAAAAGGATGAATAAAGCAAGTCTAGAAAGTCAATAGGACACACAAACATTTTATAATAACAAAGAAGTTCACAATTATTTCTGAATTGTCTAATTTCATAATTTATCATTTGAAGCATTGTTGATAATCAAATAATTGATCATTTGAAAATTTGACTCATTAAAATAGTTTATCAGGTATTCAGAGTGTTATGTCTTGTCATTTCGTACTGATTTTCAGACTTACAAGAATTCTGTTCTTGGAAACCTTGATTCAGGTTGTTGCTTTAGTAAGATAGATTAAAATCAAGAAAAATTTGTGATATCAGACATTAAAAATGTTTATATTGAAATATAGATCTGATAAAAAAATTCTTGGAACTTGATCAAGTTTTTTTTATCATAATTTTCTAGAACAAGTTAATAATGAAAATTTATCAGATAATTTGTTTAGATTGGTGTCTAAATCTATGTCTAGAGACAGCTTCAATTTTAGTAGGTGAAGACTGTAGTTTGTTAAGCTAGCTTCTATTCACTCTTTGGTAATTGATGTATTAAATGAGCAAAAATAGACTTGGCAGATGCTAAAAAAATGCAAGTGAAACAAAAGAAACCAATAAAATAGTAATAATAACAATACTGTAAATACCAATAAATGTGCCTGCATTTTTTACTGCTATTGTTGGACAATCAACACAAATGTGAATTTAATTATTGCAATTTCAGGAAATGCTGCATAAAAATAATGCCATCAAATTTTAAAATGCAAATTCATATATATTTTTATTTTTTGTAATTTTGAAAGTTACTTGTTTAAGTAATGCCTTGACTGAAATAAGGGAAGTTCATTATCAACATTTTTTTCTCTGCTTCATCTTCACACATTACTTCTCTCCTAGTTTACAAAGACTCTGTCCTCACATTTGCTGAACTAGCATTTATTACTGCAGTTGTTGGACAATATACACAAATGCGATTTAATTATTGCGATTTCAGGAAATACGGCATACAAATAATGCTATCAAAATTTAAAATGTGAATTTATATTTTTGCAACACCAATCTCCTTGCAATTTTCACAGTAATAAAAACTTTGCAATAACTTCTTAATTTACAGTAACAATAATGTCTTAAATATCAATAATCAATCACAAGCACAGATTTATAAGTGCACCAAAATAATAAATTTTAATTGTTTTCTTAATGTTGGGTGAGAAAAAAATAATGCCAGGGATAAAAAAAAAAGAACAGTTTGCTGCTTTTAAACATAAATTTAAATGATTGCACTTTTTACTGCTAACTGGTAATATGATAGAAGTTTGTTCTGACAGTTCTATAATTCTCTGACAAGTTCTATAATTCGTCTAAGGTTTTCTGTTCTGTGTATAATTTTATGATTTTCTGTCAAGATTGCACTGCTAGGTTTCTATGGAACATCAGATTTGGGCCCGGTCCAATCGTTATGATTATCATAAGAAGAAAATCTGTTTATAATTGCCAAATAATTTGTGATTTACAAGGTGTTTCTGATATATAGGTTAACATTGTTTGTTTATTCCTGTCAATCTTTGATCATAAAATTCATTTTTATCCAACCATTATTGTGCTAGGGCTTTTTACTTTGATGAGCAAGATTGAAGCTGATAAATTGTATCAGGTATCAACTTAGATTTTGAAAGCCGAACTTAAAGAAATATGATTTTAAAATAAAAATTATATTTACTGGAATTTTTTGGCATCTGGAAAATCGAAAAAAGGAATTCACCCTATATTTTGTTAGTAAAAACATAATTTTAAAGATTTTTTTTTATCATAAACTAAATGATGTCAGAATCACCAAGCTAATAATAAATTTATTTATTAAATTTTTAATGTTATCTTGCACATGTTCGTATCCTCCTAGCTCTCATTCAGTACATAATTTCTGACAAAATTCTAACAGCTTTTATCCCACATGTCAATATGAGACATTAGTTGCCAACTCTGGTGTAGTATACATACACGTAGAAAAGCTCATTAAGCTGCAGTTAGTGATGAAGTCAAATCGAGAACATTTTTAATATGTTAAAATTGGGCCTTGTCTACGAACTATCTGAAAAATTTATATATAGAAATCTCAGCCTTTCAAATGTGAGTTTTAGTGTGTAAAAAAATCACATTCATCTTTTTTACCCATCCAAAATAGACACTAATTAGAACACACCTAACTGTAAGGTCAAGGTAACTACATTACTGATGTTTGGCACTAGATTCATGTAATAACTATTGTTTTGTGCTAATCATGTAGTGAGTTATTATGATATAAATACTGGCAACAATATCTGTATCTTTTGTGGTAATTAGTCGAATTCTTCATCAGTCACCAGTTGGCATCTTTCAGAGTGGAGACCACATCAAAAAGAAAGTATACATATTCTTAGCATATGTCAGTCTACCATCTGTTGAAATTTGTATGATTTTTTTATTTACACACAAAAGATGGAGTATGAATTAAGAGTATGAAAGGATGTGCCTAAAATATTTACTGATAAATTTCCACCTTGTCTGCTAGATTGTTTTATTTATTTTTATTCAGAATTCAGATAAGCATAGGAATAATGGTATACAAATTGGAAAAATAAAATATTGATACTATTAGTTTACAAATGTTATGACATCATTGAACTAGTTTACAAATGTTATGACATCATTGAACTAGTTTACAAATGTTATGACATCATTGAACTAGTTTACAAATGTTATGACATCATTGAATTAGTTTACAAATGTTATGACATCATTGAATTAGTTTACAAATGTTATGACATCATTGTACTAGTTTACGAATGTTATGACATCATTGAACTAGTTTACAAATGTTATGACATCATTGAACTAGTTTACAAATGTCATATGGGACAAATAAGCACTGCAGCATTCAAATTATTTCCAAGCTTGCTTGACACACACCTAATGACATATTTGTTTATGGTGACATGTTTCAGACAAATTTATGAGGACTTAAACATTGTTTGCAGTACATACATGTAATATTATATGGTGATTTTCCTTTGACTAGAGTAACAAATAAAATTGCCAATGATATAAGGTCACACATGTATCTAAAGGTCACCCTGGAGTCCAAAAGAAACTGACCTTATAAAAGAGGTGTTATTTGAATTGGGGGTCAAAATGAATAGGTTTATTACAACAGAAAAAGAAAAGGGTGACCTGAAAAGGTTTAAGCTGAGTAGAGTTGACTTTATAGCAGGTTTGACTGTACCATAGTTGATTTATACTTTTGATCCTTCTCTTATAAATCTTGTTATGTTTCAGAAAATGAAAAAAAGTTAACAATTATATTCAACTTTCTTATTGTATTTAACTTGGTAACTGTATTCAACTTTCTAATTTCAGTGGGATGCATTTAGCCTTCCAGAATTACAAAACTTTCTTATTGTACTCGACAGAGAGGAAAAAGAATATTGTTCCCAGCTGGAATACAAATACAAAGTGATGAGAAAAATCATTCAATCAAGACTAAAGGAGTTGCGCAAAGAAAAACTTGCAGAGAAAAGGAAATCTTTAGGTCTCGTGTCCTGATAAAGTCATTGTTAATTGTTTACTCATTCACAAAATAGTGCTTAATGTCACATGGCTAGGGAATTGTTTTTATCATCCGATCGGGAATCATTTCTGAAGTCATGTGATCATTGAAGCTACTACTGCACCAGGTGCTAGCTTCCAATCGCAGGTCCTCATTGATTGAACATGTTGAAACAATTTCGCATTTGTCACCATAGACATGACCTTGACATACAAGGATGACGTTGAAAATAAAGCATGACGATTTCAGCAATGAGGAATCCTTTTTTCGATATTGGAACCAGAATTATTGATACAAATTGTGATATATTATTTATCAGTGCTAAATATTTGTTAAGTTTGACTAGAGGAGCATGATTCCTCAGAACTGTTTTAGTTGATGGATTGTTGATATGATATTGTGAGGAAGTAGAGATTCATTCCTGGGCATAGACTACTTGTTGGAAAGATTAGCGACTTTCTATTTTTAGTCTTGAGTTGTACAATTCTTTGTACATTTATTGTAAGCTAGTCCATATATAATATAACTATAACCAAGTAGGATTTGAAATAATATTGGTTTGCATCTTTTTTCTTGATTTTGTGGCCGTTTTTTGTTTTGTATCGGAGATTAAGATATTACATTAATTTTAAAGATGTATATAATTATTTTTTATAGTCATTCATTTTTAGTCATAAATGGAAGATAATGTCTCAAATAATTACATCCTAATACGGTGGTTTATAGAAGTGTTGTGTGTTTGTATCAAAACACAGTCTTGAGATGATAAATGATTTTCATAAATTTGTAACCACATCAAGTCAGCTTAGCTTGACATTTAGGCTTAAAAGTCTGTCATCCGAAAATACCATATCAAATTCAAAATCATGTATTGAATTTTAGTTATGATTGGTCACCTATGCATTTAGAAACATGAACACACAGCACATTTTCAAATACAAATTGATAACTTATAATCAGGCTAGTCAAATTGAGAAAGCCTTGATATCATTTTGGAGCAGTAACAAACATTTCGAATATGTATCAAATTGTTTTTAGATGATTTATTTACTGATAATATGTTTCAAGGTTAATTTCGGTTAATGATATTTTTGTCCATCTAACTGACATAGTTTTGGCCTGTTTCAACTTGTAATTGATGATAACTGTGATAGATTGGTATTAAAAGTAATCTTGTAATTGAGTGAAAATTGAAGTATTGACAAGATTTAAATGTTGAAATTTATTTTCTTCATTTTCGGCTAGAACGATTTGCTTGCTGCTCCAGTTTAAAGAAATTAACAGTTGACATGAATTAAGAAGTGTGTTCACAATAGATAAGCATAATATATTTGGTTTGAAGATAGTTAAGGATTAATAGAATCTTAGTTTTATATTACAATGATATTATTGTGTTATAAGATTATTAATTTTGCAGAATTTAAAATCCAGGGTTTAAAATAGTGCCTTTCATTTGTTGCAAATATCTAAATTCAGTGGTGGATTTATTATTCAGTCGACAACAAACAAGCAAACTCCCTTTTTGGGATTCCCCCTAAAGGTATTTCATATTTTCAAGATACATGAATATAGTATTCCGATTCAAATGGAAAGAAAGAAGAACAGAAGACTGTTTGATTGAGAACACAAATCAAATTGTTTAATTCATTCATATAGTAACAAATTGCGGTAAATAAAAATACTCCGTAAATTCTGTTTGCCAAGTATACTGTTATAAAATGAAAATCTCTTGCATTTTGGCCTTGATGCAAAGTCAGCCGGTTTAATTACAAATGATGTATAAAGTACATTGTTAGTTAGACACAGTAGTTGCTGAGTCAGTGGTAATTAACATCTGATCTCACCTGGTACAGATGTAACATATCACAGTCAATTAACAATGTCGATTTTGCCAATCTAATTATACTAAGGTCTTTTGATGTCGTCTTTCATCACTTAACTTCTACTCTCTGTAAACTTTGGTAGATTCTTTGAATTTTAGCCATACTTTTATTAATATTTTTATTGCATTTAAAATGACCGGGAAGCGATTTGTCTGTTAATGTATATGGGAAAGTGAAGAAACAGTATTGTGAAATTGAATTATTTTGTAGGTAAACATTGTTAGATTGCTAAAATGGTGCCACCTTTATGCATTAATTTTACTAAGTTTTTAACTGCTTTATATGCTTAATTCTATTTATTTAAAAAAAATATTTGGAGATGGTTTCGCATGGCTTTTTTTTTTTTTTTTTCGAGACATTGTTCTCGATGGTAAAAACGAATGTGCTAAATTGCACTTCACTCGTCACAAAATTATTGTGAATGTATATAATCTGCTTTTTAATGGTGTGAGGTTCTAAGGAGGGTAAACAGAAAGTTGAGAAACTTGCAGAAAGCACTTCTGTTTTCCACCGAAAAGGTGTATATCAACCAGCGTGATAAGAGTGAAATCTGTCAAAAGCTATGCACTATTTAACATGTTTTAATGTAGAAGTATTTGACAAATTTCACATCTTGTGGTTGCAATATTGTGCAGCCAATTATTTTTTAAGCTTTTTGCAATCAATTTCCCTCCCCAAGTTATGTCAAACACTTAAAAAACCCCAACCTGTGCTTAGCATTATATAAATTCATGCCAAAGATATATTATTTTCATCAGGTCTTGATACTCACTCTATGCTATTAAAAAGGCTGGCACCATTTTAGGTAATTCTGAAATGTTTTTTTTTCTGCAATATAAAATCTACCACTGAATTATACAAAAGTTATTTATGAGTATATTGAAATATATTTATTAGGACAAAAAATGTATAAAAATACATGAATTATAAAAAAAGCATTAATTTCAGTGTGTAATCAGATTAAATGTCCAAGACATGATCCGTTTGATCTCAGAATAACGTCATCTATTAATAAACAGAAATAATTAACCTCCCCATTAACTCTGTAAGACCTAAAGTATTGTAAATAAATCTAGGCTGAAGTTATTGCCATGTTATAAGTGATTTAATGTATACTAAATATAACTCAGCACTAATAATGTTTAGTAAAGTGGGTGCCTTGTTTGTATGTATAGCTATGGCCTAAGGGAGATAACCTTAGAAAGAATTTGATGAAAGCGCATTTTGACAATCATCAAAACATTTTACTAATACCTCATTTTAAACATCAATGTGTCATGATTTTATGTTGTTTTAATATTTTTTTTAGTTTGTACAAAATTCTATGACATGGTAATAAATGAGTATTGAAAACACATGCTATTTTGTAAGAAAAAAATTGAGGATAAATAAAATAAAAAATGGAAAAACCAGGCACCCACAAATGTAAAATGTTAAAGTATAAAAAATATAGCACCTCCATATTAGAATATTCATGTTATGTAAATAAACATATTTACACTTTATTTTGAATATTCTTAAATTATATCGTGCTGTAAATATGGAGCGATAAAAATGGAAAAGAAGGGGAAAAAATCATGAAAAAAATATAGGGTTGGATAAGGGTGGTTGGTTGTAAGATATGTAGGGAGAGAAAAATGAAAAAAAATCATAAAATTATGATGCACAACTGTAACAACTTATCTTCTTAATCCTTCATGAGCTTTAAATTGGACAGAGATTAATATGTTAACAAAATAATGATATGAAAATGTGGTCTTATAATCTTGCATTTAGGAATGATGGAATTGTGGGTAAAATTGTATTTTGCATACCAAATTTGGTTGGTTGCAATCAATTTGACAGTGATTGGTAACAAATGATATTTTTAATGTTTATAGATCAAATTTGGTATGTAAAATCTAAAAAATTGCTCCAGAATTTTATTGTTTCTGAAAATTATATAAAATTGTATTTTTGTACAATGTCTGTGCTCAATGATATTAATCAGCAACAGTGTAGGCAGACATTGATATCTTGTTGTTTATGACTATTTATCTGTTTTCTGATATGAAATATCTCAACATGTGAAACAGAAAAAAATAACAAAAAAAAATTAAAATAAATTAAAAATATATTTGTCTTGTGTTATATTATGCAATGCTTCACAAAAAAAATATCAAAATATATTCTTTTGCAAACAAATCCCTACAAAACTCCATACAAAAATAAAATACAAAGAAACAGCACTTGGCTTCACAGAAAAAATATCAAAATGGACTCTTTTTGCAAACTAGAAGTACATCATTTTGTGCAAAAAAATTTATCGATTGAAATAGAAATGACACAAATCCCTACAAAACTCCTGACAGAAATCAGATGCAAAGGAACAGTGCTTGCATTGCTGTTCTTCATCACAAATTCACAGAAATGCCTTCAACATGGGGAAAACTCTTATACCTCACTGCAAGTTTAAATCAGCCCCTATCATCTGTTTACGTTTTTTTCTTCATTAGATTTTAAGCTTATCATGAGCAAAGAAACCTTTTAAAGTATAAATACAATACACACATACAGATGTTTGAACTCATACAGACTCAAAAAGAACATGCTGCAGCATGATGAATTTAGAAAGGATTGATATAAGTATTAACTATACTAAGTGTATAGGAGGAAGTAGACTTGAAAAGACCTGACACAACAGGCTTATTAGAGATGAATTTTATAGCAAGTTTGACTAATGTGGATATGAAGACAAAAAAAAAACATCCTGTATCTATTGATAACACAAGTTATACAAGGTAGAAATTGTGTGTCAGCTGGTACAAAACACCAAACTCGATCAAGATGGGTTTTCTTTTCTAAAACACAGTTTATAAAATTATTCACCAAACACTGATGAGAAAGTGAACTATCCTCACACCCAAAGGAAATTGGTAGTCGGCAGAAAAATTTAAATTACATATAACTGATGTAAAAATTAAATTCTTATAAAAGGGAGTTATACACATTATGCTTGTAAAAGATTCTATAACATTCACAATCTCTTGATTATCACTACAATTTTGTTTGAAATATACCGGTACTTGTGCATTGGATTTTTAGATTGTTCTCTTTAGAAATTATAAGACAGCTACAACCATCATCCAAAATGAAAGCTAGTACATTTGGTTTACTAAGTAAATGATTTAAATAAAATTGAGAATGGAAACCTACATGCAAACAACTTCATGCAAGTGTTGCGAGACAGTTATCCTGTCGATGGTCATGGTTTTTTTTAAGGATACTCCTGCTTCTTCAACCAACAAAAACTGGCAGCATATATCGCATAAACATGATCAATTGACATTTTAAAGTGTGCCTTTCTATGTTGTGATGTTGCACTATTGTTTCAGGTTAGGGTGAAGGTTGGCGCCTAATAAAATGTTTTAAACCTGCTGAATTTGTTTGCACCTGTCCTAAGTCAGGAACCTGATGTTCAGTGGTTGTCGTTTGACACAATAGAAGATCTATTGATGTGGTTCATAAGTGTTTCTCGTTTCTTGTTTTTTATATAGATTAGACTGTTGGTTTTCCTGTTTTAATGGTTTGACACTAGTCATTTTTGGGGCCCTTTATAGCTTGCTATTCGTGTTGAAGACCGTACTTTGACCTATAATAGTTTACTTTTACAAATCGTGATTTGGATGGAGAGTTGTCTCATTGGCACTCGTACCACATCTTCTTATATCTATGATCACTGAAAGTCGCCAAACAAAAACAAACCATCTTGACAAGCCTTTATGGGAACTAAAAATCACAGATGACCAGCACAAAATAATTCATGGAAATAATATGTGGTATATCCATAATTGATTGATCTTTAATGATGCTGTAAAGAAAACTGGTACTTTTTGCTCGCGAAATTAGCATCACTTGCGTCGAGCTGGCATACAAAATTTAAATCCTGGCATCTATGATGAGTTTATTTATAACAACTAGGTTGATGCCACTGCTGGTGGAGGTTTTCTCCCTAAGGGTATCACCAGCTCAGTTGTCAGCACTTGTGTGTTGACATGAATTTTACATTGATGTGGTCATAATTATAAATTAACTGTTTACAAAACTTTGAATTTTTCAAAATACTAAGGATTTTCTACCACAGGAATAGATTACCTTAGCTGTATTTGGCAATACCTCTAAAAATTTTGGGTCCTCAATGCTCTTCAACTTTGTACTTTATTTGGTCTGTTAAGATTTGAGTGTCACTGATGAGTCTTTGTAGACGAAAGGTGCATCTAGCGTATACAATTTTAATCCTGGTATCTATGATAAGTTTATCATTTACTTCATTTCAAATTCATATCTATACTACTAAAGTAAGAGACCGATTTTATTGAGCCGCAACTCCTCTGAATCCATACAAAGTTGGAAATATTTGTGATATGACATATAAATGTAATGTTTTGTACTTCCTAAATTTGTCTTTGAAACTAATCTTTTTTCCACAGAAAACGCCAATTTTTGAGAAAATATCCAAATTTGAAGACCGTTATCGATCCCCGTCTTATACGCTTTCGCGCATGCTCAGTCAATGTACTGCCTAACAACTCTGCCCACGGCGAACTCGCACCACTCAAACACTCTCACTAATTATTACATCTTGCATTACTTTATTTAACTCGCACCTCTCTAAAAAAAAGGATATATAACAAACTCGAAGAAATGTGTTTAATCATTAGATTGTTTTCTTCTTCTCTTAATAGATTCCTCCTTTCTTGGAGCACCTGTGTCACACAGAGACAGAACTCAACATAATGCATTAGTGCATAAAAAACAGTTTGAGAAACACGAACCCAAGCTGTGTATCACCATAAACATTTCAAGTAGTCTTCAAGCCGCACTTGTGCGGCTTTTTCTAGTAGTATTGATATTAGATCTCTATTTTGTCAATAAATTCATTATTCACAAGATGTCATGACTCTGGTTAATTATTACAGAGCTTGAAAAAGATTCCTAGTAACTTATTATGTTGTGTTGCTGTCTTGTTTCTCGACACATTTATCCTTTATATATATTCAAATTGCTTGCAGTAAAACCTGTTGAATTTGTACTTTTAAGTACCTTAGAGTTACAGACCTAAGCATTTTTTTCATTCCTTGTATAACAACGGGAATGATTTTGGATGGATATAAAATTATCTGAAAATATTGAACATATCAATACCCCTTTTTAAAATTCTAATATGTCGTTCTTCTTTCGCTTTGGAAACAAAGCCATGTTCTTATTGCAATAGAACATGGGCTGCAGGTGATTGACATCACAATTGCAACATCAGTTGTATTTTGAACAAGCTGAAGATCAAAATGGACATTTGTGTTGGTTTTGCTCGCTAGGAAATTAAATAAAATTATTCTAAAAGTAAGTGCACATGAATCGGTTCATTTTTTATCGTGTAACGGTTGATTTTCTATATTGTTTTGGATTCATGAAATCAAACTGGCTGCCTATCAAACTTGTATTATAGGTCTGCTTCGAAGTAGAAAAAATCTAAATTTTCCTAATTAGAATCAACTTATAAATAATTCTATTATGCCATGCTCTGTGCTCATTTTAACTTCATTTTACACCTCGCTAATGCTTGGTATAAAGATATTGACAAATATAATTCCTACCCATGTTAAAATGAGCATGAAAGAATTATTTCTTAAGTATGAATCCAATTAAATTATACTTTGTAGGCATTCAAGTAGAAAATTGTAACCTACATTTTTACAGATGTGCATGTGTTTGGTCTAATTTTTGAGAGTTTTTCTATGCAGCTCGCAAAGAGAACCACTATTCAGGATAAATGTTATATTACAGTCATATAAGTTTTGAAAATATATGTTGAGGCAGGTTGAGACGGTGAAAATAAAAAAAATTGTGCAATTTTCCATTTTTTGTCAGTTTCAGTCATTTAAAGTGATGTTGGTCAGACAAAGCAGAAAAACTCAAGATTTATATTGGTAAAAACTGTATGTGTTTTACTACTATTGTTATTGTTCTCTTTGTTTTAGGTTCCCAATTCAACAAAAATGGAGCACAAGAGTGCACACTAATATGTCTCACCTGCTTTACTTATCATGATTGAAATTATACTACAAGTATTACATAACTTAACATTATCAATGATCAATGTAAATGAGGTGAAGGTCAAATGAAGGTCAGATTAGCCCTTCCATATGACCTGTACACCTTACAATCATACCAAACACCAAATATGAATAGTATATTTATTGCTTATAGTATCTGAGTAATAGACCAAACCATGAAAACGTAACATTGACCAATGAACCATGAAAATAAGGTCAAGGTGAGATGAACACTGCCATTCAGACATGTACACTTCAAAAGACATTCCATATACCAAGTATAGTTGAACTATTGCTTATAGTATCCGAGATACGGGATTGACCACGAAAATTTAACCTAAATTACTGATCCATGAAATGAGGTTGAGGCCAAGTGAACCCTATCTGATAGACACAAAGACCTTGTAAGAATCCCATATACCAAATACAGTTATCCTATTACTCATAATAAGTGACTTGTCCTTAATCTTATTTTTATGGTTCAGCTACTGCTTGAAAAAAATGTATAGTTTTTTGTCATGTGAAATTAGATGTATGAAAGACAGAAACTTCCTAACATAAGATATCTGCATGCAAGTTATGAAGCATCCAAGTCTTCAACCTTCTGAAATAAAAAGCTTTATATAATTGGTTTTGCTGCACAGCAATGGATTTTGTTGATATGTTTTTCTTGAATTTCTCCAGTGATGTGCATAGCCAGTAATAAATAGAGGTCGGAAAATGAGGAATTTATTCCAATAGCAAAATTTCAGACAAATTTTACACCAAACTCCTAAGGCCTGATGTTTTAATCATATCAAGAAGGAAAAGATAACACTGTATGGTAATTCTGTTTTATTGGTAGTTTTTTCATGACATTATTACAATTTACCAGAACTATACCCAGAAGCATCCTTGTGGAGGATGTGCCAAATACTGAAGAGTTCAATTTCTCAATGTTTGCAGGGGAGGTACTTTTTGTTATGCTAGATTCTGCACTGATTTCACAGAGCAGAAGATGAAATACACCAACTCTTTGGAGACCAATATTATTTCATTTTCATATTTTAACTTGTTTAAAACTGGAAAAAAAATTGAAAGCATTTACTAGTAATCAAGCAAAAGTTGACAGAGAAAATTTCATCTTATACCACAAATTCATTAAAAAATTAAAAAACATTTGATAGGGCCATTTAGTAGAACTGCAACTAGAAAAACATGAAACTAATATTTTCCAAATTTTTCTTTTTCAAAGTTCTAGAAGGCTTCAAATTTCTCCAAATCTTTCTAGAATTCATAGTTATTGGGGTGAAAACCTTGCTTTTTAAGAACTGGAAAATTGATTAAAAAAATTTTTAAATTTTCAAACGTATTTACTTGCAGTCAAAACCATTAAGTAAAATGGTCTGAAAAAAACCCCATACATTACAGTACATCAAATACATTTGACTTTCTTCTTGGAAGATATGGGGTCTTCCTTAGTATGTATTACAGGCAAAGAATAAGGAATAATATTTCATATATAATGATATATTTACATAACAATTTTTATTCCAGAAACTAATTTATAGAAGATTTTATACTGGTACATCTGTATTGTACTGTGACAAACTGGTGCGCACCATATTCAATTGTCTATTTCTGGTGTACATTTTTGGTTTACTTGTGTTGTTGGCTTGCTCTCTTGATGAAACTAAGCTCAAGGTCATTAGTCTTGTTAATACTAGATATGTACTAAGTGAGTTAACCAGCAGATATGCCATGTATACCCATTCATTAATATATAAATTATACATAAATATTCATTCATCTTTTTATAAGTATAAAACCAGAAATATATTTTCAACATATATTTTAATCATTATTCAAGTTGTCTAATTTAAGTTTGCCTATGAAAGGTATTTTAAAGTTTCCAATATATAATATGTTGTCATGTTCAAATCCTTCTCCTGCAGCAGGTATCACTTGAGCTGTGGGATCGTGTAAACTAGATATTATGTTACCATTGTTATCATACTCCAGTATTATGGAATGTTTAGGAATAAATACATCAAACAAAGCCAATGGTGTGACCTAGAAAGTAAATAATAAGTTATAACACAATATCTCAGGGTTTATACTATGGAATCATTAATAATCATGAAATTTTTCAAGGATTTCATGGTTAAGGAAAAACAAATAAGAATCCTCACAATTACAAATTATTAGTTAAATAAAGAAATAAATAAAGAACTGCTGAACCACCCCTCCTAAGTTTTGTGCTGGTAGAGTTCCTTTATTAGTTAGTTTTATAGGAGCAAATACTGAAACGACATCATCAGGAGCCCTCAAATTTTTTTCTCTAACAATGAAAATGAATAATAACCAAAATAAACGAAACCACAATATAGGTTGAATCAGAAATAGAGATCACTGCTGTCACTTTCTATACCTAAATTTTCTTCTTGTTTGAAAAATTCATAAACGTTCTGTCTATATTTTAGAATTGAGCTAATATCAACAAAACGTTGTTTAATGACTGATGAATTTTACACCCTAGTAGTTTCATCTGAATTTCTAAATGTTAATATACTACTTTTATCAGACTTCCCACAAAAACTAACGCAGATTCTTTCAAATAACCACTTTTGAATGATAAGCAAAAGAAAGGCAATAGTTAGCATCATATCTTATCTTAATAGTTAATCTTCTCTTTTCATCTTTTATTATAGAACAACCTAAATGTTTGGTATATATAAATTGATATGCTTCCTATAACTAGTTCAGATTTTATATTCATACAGACTACTGTTAACCTTCTTATATCTTTTTTTCACATTATACGTGTACTTCACACGATTACAAAAGTAAGTATGCATTGAACCTTAAGGAGACGTAAATTGCTTAACTTTCAATATTTCATTTACAGATATAAATAGTAAGACATAAATCACCTTTGCAATAAACTTTTTTAAGGTAGGATATGGCCCTACTAAATCTAGGAATGGACCTAATCGGCTGATGCCTTCATATCGTACTGCTCCTAGTCCAACATAAAAGTTACCATGGCTATTCAGCTTAATATTGTCTGCATATCCAGGTAAATTTTCTGCAAAGATATCTGACTGTCCAGCTTTTGGTCCTTTCAGGTAATATCTGAAAAATAAAATCATTGGATAAGATTAAATTTATAATACAGTACTGTTTTCAGATTAGAGTTAACTACAGTTCCTAAATAAAAATTCCATTATTATCTCGTCTTTCCTAATGAATCTGGCAACTGGATAAGACAAATTACATACCAATGATAATGTAGAGCTATAGTTTAATTTAGTTGGGTATTACTGTAAACTAACTTACTTTTGTGAGTAGGAAATTATTGCAAATATAAATAGTATAAATATTATCAAACTTGAATCTTCTGTAATATACAGTTGTAAAACTACAAAAATAAATTGCTTTGAAGTCCACTAGAAAGGGCTAAAAGCAAAAAAGTATTTGACAAATTAAGTTGTAATGAAAGTATTTAAGTCAATTAGAACATAAGTGTCTGCATAGAAATCTTGATTTTAAATACCAATTCATCTTGTAAAATTGAATGTATAAACTTATTAATCCCTTTACAGGTTTAGGCAGAAATAAAAATACTTTTGACTTGAAAAAGTAATCTCATCACATTCATATCTATCTAATAAATAAATTTATATTTAAAAAATTAAAAAAATTAACAATATGCAAGTACACTTTCAATTTACATTGGATTTTTTTCAGGGACAGGGGTTAGCAAAATACAATATAAAATAAACTTTGAGAGAATTCTGCAAAGCTTATTAGGCAAGGGACTTTATTTTTATTTGATTATTCGGGGGTTAGCGCGAACGCAGTCCCCCACACTAAAAAATTGCGTACCCGAGATGCCCACATTTGGGGCATTCGCAAGCTTCAGCCTATCCGAAGTGCAATGGAAAGGCCTCGACCTGGGGAGACCGCCTTTTTGATCACGGTGCTCCCTGTACCAGGTAAGTATGCTAGTGATCAGAAATTTTTAACATTTCAATGAGCAAATTATTTCAACACAGGAGGTGTCAGATACAAATTTTATGATTGCATTTGTTTTGTAAAGAACAATAATTACATAAAACTATTGTCAAATTTTTATAGCTTATATGTTAATAATATAATAGATAAGTGGCTTTTATCACAGACACTTTTTATAAGCTGTATTATTGATTTTAGTCAGAATTGTAAAAACAGCTAGATCTCAATAACGACAACTCTGTACAGGTAAATTGTGTATACTATCTGCTATATCTATTATATATAGTTCATCATAAGTGGTATTTAATTCTATTACTGGTAAGTGTTGTTGTCTAAAAATAAACACAAGTATCTACTTTATTCAAATATTAAAAAAGGTCAAGCGTCAATATTTTGTTGAACGAAACTCATCAAAATAATAGAGACATCTGAAAGTATATTATTACATAAAAATAAAAAAAATCTCTTCTTCAAATGGCTTAAAAATGTACTAATAATAGTAATATTAAACAAAAAGATACCTCTAAAAACTGAATAATTCATTGAAATCTGATGATGATAATTCTAATAATGTGCGATGGAACTATTAAATAAAAAATACATATTCTGCCAAATACATAAAATATCTATCTTGAAACAGAAGGAGGAGTTGATAATGCAAATTTAACAAAAAATTACTAAGTTCTTATGACCATACAAATTGGAAAATACAAAAAAAATAAGATCTGAACACCTTTGGTATATGAACAAAATTCAACATCAGAAAATTTCTAGTTGGAAAACTGTGACCAATTGTTTATAATTTGCACTTTTGTACCAAACAAGAATTTCAATATATTTTACCAAAGTTTACCAACACTATGTTTTGAATTTCATGCTTATATACAAGTCTGTAAGGAGAAATGTGTTCAATAAGGGTACATATATATTTAATTAATTAATTGTGTTCCAATGTCCCTAACTGCAGCACATATCTCATCTATCCATTCCTTTTCAACATGTTCAAGTACAAAGATCATTCAAGTTTCCAGGCCATTGTTCATATAAAAATCTTTGTGAAAATTTTCATAAAAATCGGACAAGAAATGTAGATTAGAAAGTACTTACAATGTGATTATCCAAAAAAATTTGACAAGAGATGTACACATGAGAACACTTCCAATATTTTTTTTTTTATATAATTAACTTTTCCAAGTGGCAAAACTCATATAAAAATAATCGATCAGCACTGATAATTGAACTCATCTAAGACGTTGCTGATATGAAACATTGATGTAAATTCATAAAAATCCCACAAGAAATATACACATGAGAGCTCTTAAAAGAAAGGATGGACAGAATGACACCCACCAGGTATTTCTATGTCCTCCAGACTGTTGCACAGACCCATTGACAACAAATATTCATTGCTTCTTTCTAAACAGTGACATTTTTATAACATTTACCTACGTAATAGACAGATGTTCATTTCTGATATCACAATAAAACTTCCATCAGCTGAGATGGCCACACCATTAGGTAAATACATGTTATCCATGAGAAGTTTTAATTCACCTGTGTCAGGATTGTATCTTAGAAACCTTCCAGTGTTTCTCAACTCCATTACCTGAAAAAATAAAAGTTTTGTCTCAGCAACTTATAAAAGATTCAACTAAAGTACAAAAATGGTTCTCAAATTATTCCTCAACAGATGTAAATTGAGTTAAGGTTATTTCCCTTTGGGTCAGGTGAGCTAAAAATGAGTGCTTTTTGTGTTAGAATTAAATTATGTACATGAAACATTTGCTTCTGACATTAAGGAACAATTGATCACCAAGATAATTATCAATCTGATCATGAAGAATCAACTTAGTTCATTATAAACTGTTAACACACAGATATGTCTTGCCTATTTGTTATTTTGATAATGCAAATGTTGAAATTAAAATAGCAATACTTTAACATATAAGTTATGCAAATATACAAAGTCAATGAACCTTGACTAAAGGTACAGGGCTAAACAATCTCCATGGAAATGAGATGTGCCAATGCTAATACAACTGCATACCATTGTCATACCATTGTTTTTTCATAAGTTGTTCCCTTTAAACAGACCTAAACACAAACATTAACTTGGGTAACTATGTAAAAGTTTCAAAGTCAATGAACCAAAATGAGGGGACGGGGTTATATATTCTCCATGGAAATGAAACATTGGCATTTGCTTACCAAATATCACTGACTTAACATTAGTGGTTCATCTTAAACTGACCTAATTACAAACTAATAGACCATGACTGAGGGTTAAGGACCAAATATTCTCAATGGAAATGAGATGTGCTGATACTTATACAACTGCATACCAATTATCATTGATCTAACACTAACAGTTCCCCTTAAACTGACCTAATCACAAACTAATACATGAAAACTATGCAAAAGTTTCAAAGTCAATAGACCTTGACTGAGGGGGCGGGGCCAAATAATCTCCATGGAAATGAGATGTGCCAATGCTAATACAACTGCATACCAAATATCATTGACCTACCACTAGTGGTTCACAATAAACTAGACCTAATCACAAACTAATACATTGTTTACGCCGCTGCCGCCGGGAACAGCATACCTTTGTCTCGCTTTTTGACTCTGTCAAGACGAGACAAAAATGAAGCTATATTATCATTCTTTATTTAATTCCTTATAGCTACAATTACCTCGTATCTGTAATTCCTTCTATCCCATTTAGTACTGGAATCTGTGAAGTATACCATTCCTTCACTGTCAATATCTAAACCATTTAGGAATTTGAATGGGATGTTATCAAAGCCTGAAAATGAATCATATGAAATTTTACAGATTTCATAAAAACAGGCAGAGGGTTGAGTGCTCACAAACATGTTTAACATGCTTAACCCGGCCACATTCTATTTGTGCCTGTCCCAAGTGAGGAGCCTGTAGTTCAGTGGTTGTCGTTGGTTCCTGTCAGTCATATTTGTTCTTTGTTCATTGTTTTGTTATGGCCGTTAGTTTTCTCAATTGAATTGTTTCATATTTTTTTTATGTCAGGACCTTTTATAGCTGACTTTACAGTATGGGTTTTTCTCATTGTTGAAGACCGTAGGTCTGCCTATAATTGCTTACATCCACATCATTTGAACTTTGGTGGATTGTAGTCTCATTGGCAATCATACCTCATCTCCTTATTTTTATATTTGGGAAAATGTTCTTTTTTTCATAATAGCAAACATATTTCTTCAGAGGTGCAAGTTATAAATTGCTGTAACAGAAATTTTATGTTACCAATAGGAAAGTTCCAGGATAGATGCTGTTTCATTATAGAGATTGCAAAAGTTATAGCACGTAGCATTTTTCTATGCACATGCTTAGTTTTTACAAAGGCGATTTAGCAAATGTAACAATATAAATAGATTTCCACTTTTAAGGTATAGAACAACTAATTCGAGCCCTATCAGAAAGAACATACAAGAAAGTAGTACATATTTTAAACAAAATAGTTCCTACGCATAGCTGTAACTTTGCCAATAAGTAAAATATTTAGGTAATTTTGGTATCAAATAAAAGCTTAAGGACTTGGGATCACTGTAGAACCCTTGTTGAAAGTTTATTTTGAATAATAAAAAAATATATATGAAATTAAAATAGGATGGCACATTTGCCCTGTTGTTCAGATCAGAAGTACTTGTTTTTGTACTACCAAACTTCTGTGAACCACTGTGATCATATATGCAATTAAAGGTATTTTGATTTTTTCAGCACAAGTCAGGATAAGGTATAGTTTTGACATGAAATGACTGCAACTTATTTTTGAACTTAAGACAAAGCAGCCATTGATACTTGACATTGCAGAATTTAACATAGAAAGCAATGGGGTTATGAATTAGTGGTTTTATTCCTTAAAAGTTGACCATGCTGTTCTATTTTGACTCCCTCGCCCCAATGAAAACCTACCATAAGGTGACATCATCCATATAATGATGTTTTCATGCAGACGATGTTGTATTGATCCCAACATTGAATAGATTTCTGACGTTATGAGTAAAATGAAATCGGACACAATAAAACAGACTTTCTCAAAACCAAAGTATCAATAACTAGAGGCTCTAAAGAGCCTGTGTCGCTCACCTGCATCTTCAACAATGGTTTTTTTTAGTAAAAAAAATCATCATTAAAGGGGAATAAGTCTATTAAGAGTTAACTGATAATTTCAGGCATGTTGACATATTTGTAGATCTTATCCTGCTGAATTTTTTTCTTTTCAAAGTTTCTTTTTATCTATCATAGTTTTCAAGATAATAGGCAAAAAATGCATAAAAATGTAAAAAATATCACTTAAGGGCAATAACTTCAATAAGGAGTCGACTAGCTATTTCAGTTATGTTTTTGACTTTTTTGTAGATCTTGTCTTGCTGATCATTTTTCTCTTCAAAGTTTCTATCTATCTATTATAGTTTTTAAGATAATAGGCAATAATGCAAAACTAGAGGCTCTCAAGAGCCTGTGTCGCTCACCTGTATTTACTGATGCTTTGGAAATCATGTAAAATAAGGTTAAAATCATAATTAATAGTATTAGATATTAGATATTATAATGATATCTAAGATAATAACAAAAAATTGCAAAATTTTTGTAAAATTACTAACTCAGGGGCAGCAACCCAACAACGGGTTGTAGGATATCTGATGAACATTTTTGCCACCTGTCAGATTTGCTCTAAATGCTTTAGTTTCAGAGATATAAACCAAAAACTGCATTTTACCCCTATGTTCTATTTTTAACCAAGTCGGCCATGATGGTTGGAAGGCGGGGTCATTGGACAAATTTTTTAAACTAGATACCCTAATAAAGATTATGGCCAAGTATGGTTAAATTTGTCTCAGTAGTTTCAGAGAAGAAGATTTTTGTAAAAGATTACAAAAATTTACAAAAAATTGTTAAAAAATGACTATTAAGGGCAATAACTCCTAAAGGGGTCGACTGACAATTTTGGTCATCGCAACTTATTTGTAGACCTTACTTTGCTGAACATTATTGCTGTTTACAGTTTATCTCTATCTATAATAATATTCAAGATAATTACCAAAAACTGCAAAATTTCCTTAAAATTACCAATTCAGGGGCAGCAACCCAACAACAGCTTGTCAGATTTGTCTGAAAATTTCAGGGCAGATAGATCTTGACCTAATAATCAGTTTTACCCTATGTCAAATTTACTCTAAATGCTTTGGTTTCAGAGAAATAAGCCAAAATCTACATTTTACCCCTATGTTCTATTTTTAGCCATGGCGGCCATCTTGGTTGGTTGGCGGGGTCATCGGACACATTTTTTAAACTAGATACCCTTATGATGATTGTGGCCAAGTTTGGTAAAATTTGGCCCAGTGGTTTCAGAGGAGAAGATTTTTGTAAAAAGCGAAGGACGACGGACGACGACGACGCTGCCGCCGACGACGGACGCCAATTGATGAGAAAAGCTCACTTGGCCCTGTGGGCCAGGTGAGCTAAAAATTGGTAAAAATCGTCATTAAAGGGCAATAACTTTACTACGGAGTCGTTTCTTTCATTTTGGTCATGTTGACTCATTTGTAGATCTTGTCTTGCTGATAATGTTTTGCTTTCTTAACTCTCTATTATAATTTTCAAGAAAATAGGCAAAAGTTTTAAAATTTTGTCATTTAAGGGCAATAACTACTATAAGAAGTCACCTGACAAATTTGACTTAAACGGACAATAGATGGAGCTCAACATTCTGAACAATATTGACCATGTTAGAATTTCTCTTTTTTTAGTGGTTTTTGAAATAAAAGGCAAAACTTGAATTTTACCCCTATGTTCTATTTATAGCATTTTTTCCAAAATAATAGGCAAAACTTGCATTTTACCCCTATGTTCAATTTTTAGCCATGTCGCCCATCTTGGTTGACAGGTGAGGTCATCAGACACATTTTTTAAACTAGATTCCCTATTTATGATTGTGGCCAAGTTTGGTTAAATTTGTCCCAGTCATATCAGAGGAGAAGATTTTGTAAAAGTTAATGGAAGACAAGGGATGACGTTGGACGACAATGATGAGAAACACTAAAAAGAATACACTGATCATACTTAAAATACATATCAGTATGATTTTAAATTTGAAATACCTATCACAATTTGTTGTTTTTCCTCATCATTTTTTCTAAATGATCAGATAACTGTCAGCAAGATTTAAAGCCCTTGAACTCTAGTTCATGAATTAGTACTCAACTCTCCTCTTCTTGTGGTCCAGATGTGGATCAGAAATATTTCATTAAGGAGGAGGGGGTCTGGATGGGAAATGGTTTCTCTAGGTAAAATTGGTTCCAACAACACAAATCCTTCCCTCCGCATCTGCCAATGTGGTCATTTAGGTATTTCAGGCCATTACAGCAGTTCTTACTTTACTTTTAATTTATTTATCCCCATTTACAAACCATTGCTGACAGATTGAAACTAGAGGCTCTAAAGAGACTAAGTCGCTCACCTGCATCTTCAACAATAGCCATGTTTTGGTAACAAATCACCATGAAAGGGCAATAACTCTATAAAGAGTTAACTGACAATTTCAGTCATGTTGACATATTTGTAGATCTTATCCTGCTGATCATTTTTGCTTTTCAAAGATTCTACATATATTTGTACACTTTTCAAGATAATAGGCAAAAAAAATTATAAAAACATCTAACAGGGAAATAATTCCAAAACTAGTCGACTAAGAATTTCAACCATGTCTTAATTGTAGATCTTGTCTTGCTGATCATTTTTGCTAAATAAAGTTTCTATCTATCTACTGTAAATTCGGAAATTATTGCGAGGTTTTTATTATTGCGAAATATGCGACAGGGTTGTAATCGCAATAATTTAAACTTGCATTTTGAATTTTTTTATATGAAAGAAGGGGGATTTTTCTCAGTATCACAAAAACAATAATCGCATTTTGGTCTAAAATGACAAAATCGCAATAATGAATGCATGCAATAATTTCTGAATTTACAGTATTCAAAATTTCAAAATAATAGGCGTTAATGCAAAAAATTGGGAAAAGAGCTCCAATAATGAGATCTCTGAATATTTCAGCCATGATTATTTCTTTGTAGATCTTGTCTTGCTAATAATTTTTCCTTGTAAAAATTTATCTGTATCTATTGTAGACAAAACTGAAAACAAAAGATAAAATTTGATATTTAAGAGCTATAACTCCTATAAGAAGTCATCTGATAATTTTGACATAAATAAACAGCAGGTAGTTCTCAATATTCTCAATGTTTTTGCTTCTGTCAGACTTTCTCTATTCATAGTGGTTTTCAAGATAAAGGACAAACCTTGCATTTTACCCCTATGTTCTATTTTCAGCCTTGTCAGCCTGGTGATCTTGGTTGAAAGACTTGGTCATTGGACACATTTTTGTTGAGCCTTCGACTTTAGTTGAAAAAGCGAGACATAGCCATCCTACATTCCGTTGGCGTCGTTGTCGTCGGCAGCGTCCACAAATATTCACTCTGTGGTTAAAGTTTTTGAAATTTTAATAACTTTCTTAAACTATCCTGGATTTCTACCAAACTTGGACAGAAGCTTGTTTATGATCATAAGATAGTATCCAGCAGTAAATTTTGTAAAACTAAAATTCCATTTTTTCCGTATTTTACTTATAAATGGACTTAGTTTTTCTGCCCGGAAATATTACATTCACTCTGTGGTTAAAGTTTTTAAAATTTTAATAACTTTCTTAAACCATCCTGGGTTTCTACCAAACTTGGACAGAAGCTTGTTAATGATCATAAGATAGTATCCAGAAGTAAATTTTGTAAAAAAAAAAAATCCATTTTTTCCTTATTTTACTTTTAAATGGACTTAGATTTTCTGCCAGGAAACAACACGTTCACTCTGTGGTTAAAGTTTTTAAAATTTTAATAACTTTCTTATACTATTTTGGATTTGTACCAAACTTGGACAGAAGCTTGTTTATGATCAAATGCTAGTATCTAGAAGGAAATTTTGTTTTCTTCCAGTTAACATTACATTCAGTCTGCAGTTAAAGTTTTTAAACATTTATTAGATTCATAAACTATCCTGGATTTTTACCAAACTTGGACAGAAGCTTCTTACAATCAAAAGATAGTACTGTAAATTCAGAAATTATTGCGTGCATTTATTATTGCGAATTTTGTAGAAAGGACTAAAATGCGAGATTAATTATTGCGATTTCAGAAAAATGTACATACAGTTATATGTATCAGATATAAGAATGCGAGTTCTTATTAATGCGATACTCTTTCAGTCGCATTATTCGCATTAATAAAAACCTCGCATTAATTTCTGAATTTACAGTATCAAGAGGAATATTTTTATTGATTTACTTCCTCATTTTTGTTGAGCCTGCGATTGACAGAAAAAGTAGGCAAGACACTGGGTTCCATGGAACCCGTACGAATTTTTTAAATTAGATACCCCAATAATGATTGTGGCCAAGTTTGGTTAAATTTTGTAAAGGTTTAACAGAAGACGACGACGTACAACAATTGATGAGACAAGCTGAGCTAAAAAGTACATTCTCAATGGGAAACCACAATATGAATGGCAAAAGAACATACACAAACCTTTAGCACTAGATACCAGTAGCTTCTTCTCCCCTGTTTCTACAGAAACTTTATATAGTCCTGTATAAGAGTCAAGAACCAGTAAATCACCATTCTTGTCAATCTTCATTCCCTTAGGTCTGCCACATATTGGTTCCAATTGGAATGATCCTGGAAAAGAGGAAAAGATTATCATTTTTCAAATCTTAAATTTCATTTATTAATACTAAGTAGTGTATGACTATGTCTGTAATTTGAAGAAAATTTTTATTTTGTGTGATCTTGACTTTTGGTCTCCTCTTCAGGCTTCTCAAATAGATTTGAAGTACACAAAATACCTGGGATATGCTCGATAAAAACATTAGAAATTGTTTTTAGCAATGAGGTTTAAAGAGTAGACTGCCTATTGCCAGTCATTGACGTTTTGAGAAGCCTGCACTTTTACAATGACAGCCTGAAATTCAAGGAAAATAGCTTTTTTGGAACAAGTACAAACATAACTTGAATTGCTCTTCAACTTTGTACTTTATTTGGCCTTTTAGCTTTTTTGATTTGAGTATCACTGATGAGTCTTTTGTAGACAAAACATGTCAAGTTCAAAATTATAAGCCTGGTATCTTTGATGAGTTTCTTTTCTAATAGTGAACTTACCCTTTTCAATCAATTCTCCATGTCATTTCCAAATTTTTTTTATTACTTAGATTTATAATGCAAGCTGGATTATCCTATTTTAGAAAGTACTAAGAATTATATAAAATCCATACTTAAGGAAACATTTCAAATAGTTTTCAAGTAGCAGATACTAGTTTTAAAAATAAATACCATTTTAGTAAACATTTTGGCTTAAAAATGCCATGTCGGGTTGTTGTCTCTTAGACATATTCCCCATTTCCATTCTCAATTTCATAAATGAAAAAGTCCGTGAAACTGTTTCATCGTCTTTGGCATCTTAACAATGTGACGTCATAGGTATACTCCCGATGTAAAACATAAACACTAGACATATTTAACTTTTCACAGGTTTCTGAATGGTTTAAAGAAAATTTTGAGGCACAAAATGTGACTTTTTTTTTATTTTTTGAGAAATTACATACCAAAAACATTCAGAATTAAAGAACCTTAGTGAGCGCGCTCACATACCCCACGTCCCCACATTGTCACTGGAGAAATAAAATAACTGTAAGAAAAAAAAATGAATAAGAAAAAGAAATTGAATCATAATTTCCTGTTGATATGCACATCTGCATAGTATGTCCTTATTATCTAAAAAGGTTTCATGAAATTCTGTTGTGTGGTTTCAGAGGAGTTGCGATGACAAACTGTTGCAGTAGTATATTGAAGCAAATAAGTTCAAAGGGGTGTAACTCCTACAAAAAAAATTGAATCGTAATTTCCTGTTGATATGCACATCTGCATAGTATGTCCTTATTATCTAAAAAGGTTTCATGAAATTCTGTTGTGTGGTTTCAGAGGAGTTGCGATGACAAACTGTTGCAGTAGTATATTGAAGCAAATAAGTTCAAAGGGGCGTAACTCCTACAAAAATAAAATGCTTCGCTGGGGCGCAGCTTGATACGACCGCAGAGGTCGAACCCTGAACAGTTGGGGCAAGTATGGACACAAAATTCAAGCTTGATACAGCTATGACTTTGGATTGTCATTAAATATTTGACACAGCATAGGTTTCTGACACAGGATGAATGTGGTGTAAGAACTGGAAAAAATTTAATTTACCTATTATGGTGGAATATCCATAAACTAAATTGTTTGTTAATTTCAATATATCAAAGAATATGTAGAATTCAATGTTTGATGTAATGTAATAAAGTTGAAATTTGGACCGTTTTTGTTCAATGTGGACCAATTTGGTAACATGTATAAATAATCAAAAATCTAAATACATGAGAGCCCATTTAAATACATCATAAAGGTATTAAAATAGAAAGTGACATCATAGTCATGGCTAAAAATAAACAAAAATCCTTAATCAGCAACATTTAAAGTAATATCTAAAAATAAAATTCCTTTGTAACCATAAAAGCCCATTTAAATACATCATAAAGATATTAAAATAGAAAATGACATCATAGTCATGGCTAAACATAGCAAAAAACCCTTAATCAGCATCATTTAACAGTAATATCTAAAAATGGAAATTACATCACAAAGGTATTAAAATAGAAAATGACATCATAGTCATGGCTAAAAATAAACAAAATCCTTAATCAGCATCAGCAACATTTTATAGTAATATCTAAAAATAAAATTCCTTTGTAACCATAAAAGCCCATTTAAATACATCATAACAGATATTAAAATAGAAAATGACATCATAGTCATGGCTAAACATAGCAAAAACCTTAATCAGCATCATTTAACAGTAATATCTAAAAATAAAAATTTCTTTGCAACCATAAAAGTAAAATAGAAAATGACATCATAATCATAGCTAAAAATAAACAAAAATTTTTTTTATTGGCAAATTTTAAATGGAGTTTATTATACTAAAACAATAAATTTGCAACCATAAACATGATAAAACCCCATTTAAACACATCATAAAAGTATTAAATAATTCAACTACATCATAAGGCTATAAAAATAGAAAATGACTTCATAGTCAAGGCTAAAGGTAAACAAAAAACCTTCATCAGCAAAATTTTATATTGGCAAATTTCCAATGAAGTTTATTACACTAAAATTGTTGGCAAATTTCCAATGCATTTATTAACAATAAAGTTATTGGCAAATTTCCAATTTACATAATTTAAAAGCAGTGTAGATGAGATATTTAAATGAGTTTGAATTACCAACCTTACACTGCTTTTAAATAATGTTCTTTACTCAATTATTTGTCTATTAAAATGGAAACCCTTGTTTTTTAACCTTTTTCCCCCTTATTCCTTAAACATTAGAGCCATAACCCCCCCCCAAGCCAATTATTACTTTCCAATGTAACCTAAATTTCCAATATACATAATTTTAAATTTCAATTCCTCATGATATATAACCGTATCATTATATTTTCTTTCATATATAAATCTGAAACAACCATCTTTAAATGGAAAATTTTAAAGAAAAAAAAAGGAAAAAAAAAAATCCTTCCCCCCACACATTTTTTCAACCCCCTTTTGATTCATCATCCCCCACCTCAATCACAACCTTCAATTTGTGGTATGGTACATTGCAATACAATTTCACAGAGATCCATACACTTGAACACAAGTTTTTGTTGCAAACTAAAAAAATTCCTTATTTTCGACCAATATTTGGCCCCTTATTCATAAATGTTTGAGCAATTAACCCCAAAACTCAATTCCTACTTTCCCTTCGTGATAAAAAATTACTAACTTAAAATGTAAATTTTAAACAAAAAAAAAAGGGAAAAAAAAAATTACCCCTTTTTTGACCCCCGCCCCCCTTATGATTCATCACCCCCACCCCCCTTTCCCCCCAAACCAAGCTCAATAACAGCCTTGCCTTTGTGGTATGGTACCTTGTAATACAATTTTAGAGAGATCCATACACTTGAACACAAGTTATTGTCTAGAAACTAAAAAATGCTTATATTAAACCCCTTTTTAGGCCCCTTATTACTAAACGTTTTGGGCAATTACCACAACACTCAATTCCAGCTTTCCCTTTGTAAAATGGAACCTTATAGTAAAATTTCAGAAAGATCCATACACTTACACACAAGTTATTGTCATGAAACTAGAAAAATGCTTGTTTTTTGCCCCCTTTTGGCCCCTTATTCCTAAAATTTTGAGGCAATTAACCCCAAAATCAATCCCAGCATTGACCCTTTGTGATATGGAATCTTGTGGTACAATGTCAAAGAGATCCATATGCTAACACACAAGTTATGTCTGGAAGTTACAAAAATGCTTATTTTCGGCCCCTTTTTGGCCCCTAATTCCTTAACTGTTGGTACCATAACCCCCAAAATCATTCCCACCTTCCTATTGTGGTATTGAACCTTATGGTAAAATTTCATAGAGATCCATTCACTTAAACTAAAGTTAGAGTGCGAAAACCATTGTGTATTCGGACGACGAGGCCGGACAACGACGACGACGACGACGACGACGACGCCAACGTCATACCAATATACGACCTCAAAATTTTTTTAGCGGTCGTATAAAAATTGAATCGTAATTTCCTGTCGATATGCACATCTGCATAGTACGTCCTTATCATCTAAAAAGGTTTCATGAAATTCTGTTGTGTGGTTTCAGAGGAGTTGCGATGACAAACTGTTGCAGTAGTATATTGAAGCAAATAAGTTCAAAGGGGCGTAACTCCTACAAAAAAAATTGAATCGTAATTTTCTGTCGATATGCACATCTGCATAGTATGTCCTTATTATCTAAAAAGGTTTCATGAAATTCTGTTGTGTGGTTTGAGAGGAGTTGCGATGACAAGAAACAGGACTGACGGAATGAAGGACTGACGGACGGACAGACAGACGGATGGATGGGTCAAAAACATTATACCCTCCGCAACCCGTTGCGTGGGGTATAATTAAAAATGATGGCTTTCCTTAGTTACGGACTGGTAGAACGTGGAATCTAATCCTTCATATTTGTCAATGTCTAATGAAAATTATCGTGCCATCAGAATTGCATTAGAATGCTGCATTGATAGCAGGTTGTTGTTATTAAATTTTGTTCACATTTAGATATCTACATTAAGCTTGAACCACAAAATCTAGGAAATTGAAAACTTTTAAAAGTGAAGTCTTTTCATAGTAAACAGCAAGAAAAATTATGTGTTTGGTAAAGTGCAGTTTACATTTTTATCATATATTCTTTAAAAATATTTCTAATGCATCAATTAATATTTGATCAACTTTCAAGTTTTAGCTAGAAGTTAATCTGAAGATATTTATTCTCTATCAGGCATCTATTAAACCACTATTCTTTACTTTCAATAATTTAAGAATCATCTACTCAGAGTTTAATTATTTTCTTATAGCTTTCCTTTACCCGAATTGTTTTTTTTTCTTTACTTTTAAGAATTGATTGTCACAGCTTCAATTTTAGGGTTTTACATTTTTTCAGTTGAATTCAGTCATTTCTATGTTAATGTTTTAGGACACTATAACAAATGGCTCAAAAATGGTTGTACAAACAAACATGTATGAATATATATAATAGAACACTTTTCTGCTGTTAAAAATATCGATTTATAAATAGATTACCACATTCAGGCAATTTCTTTCCAAATCTTGTAATCTCCCAAATGTCATTTCCTTTAAAGCCAACAACTCTACCATCAGCAAGTCCAGTGAATATTGTACCTGTAATATTCAAATGCAAAATTGAAAAAAACCAAGCCAGCTGTCCATGACTAGTAATTGAAATACAAACTTATTTTCCATTAAGACAAAGTGGAAACTTTTGACACAATAAACTCCTATTCTAAAAAAAATGTTAATACAAAAGTACAAAACGAAACTTCTGCAAAAAGTTGCAAAATTAGTGGGTTATGTGGCCATTTACTTCTATTTTGATTTTACAGGGGATAGCGCGAACGCAGTCCCCCACACTAAAAAATTGCGTACCCGAGATGCCCACATTTGGGGCATTCGCAGGCTTCAGCCAAACCAGAGTGCAATGGAAAGGCCTCAACCTGGGGAGACCGCCTTTTTGATCACGGTACTCCCTGTACCAGGTAAGTATGCTTGAGCAAATGTACTTAAACTTTTTGAATCAGAACATTACTTTTCTCACACAAGGTGATCGATAAAAATTGAAAAACTGCAATTATTGTTCAATTAAAAAACCAATAAAAAATACAGAATCATTGAACACATCCTTTACCTATCTTAAAGATTTATGGATAATTCAATTCTTAAAATAACTCATTATTATTCCTGTAATATTGATTTAAACAAGAAAATGTACAATATAAGTAACGACAACTCAACAAGTAAATTGTGTATGTTTATCTCACACATGGTTTAACCTTGGGGATGTTTTGAACAACGTGTCATAAACAGATTACCACTTCATTGAATTAAATTAGCTTTATATATAAAAACAAAAGTGCACACGCTGAAATGTCTCGCCTGCTTTACTGACCATTGATTTTATGTTGAAATTCTGAAAGATAAAGGTTTTACTTAAAGCATTACAGAAACTTATCATTTTTAAGAATCTATGACAATGAGGTCACAGTCAGATAAATTATGTCAGACAGACACCTAACAATTTTTTTATACACCAAATATAGTTGACCTATAGTGTATGCTAATTGAAAAACAGACCAAAACACAAAAACTTATCATTGACCAATGAACCATAAATATGAGGTCAAGGTCAGATGATACCTGCCAGACTGACATGTGCACCTAACATTTATTCCATACACCAAATATAGCTGACATATTGCTATTAGTATTTGAAAAACAGACCAAAATACAAAAACTTAACATTGACCATTGAACCATAAAAAAAACGTCAAGGTCAGATGATACTTTCCAGACAGACATGTACACCTTACCATCATTCCATACACCAAATATAGTTGACCTATTGCTTATAGTACTTGAAAAACAGACAAAAACACAAAAAATTAACATTGACCAATGAACCATGAAAATGATGTCAAGGTCAGATGATACCTGCAAGACAGACTTGTACACCATACAATCATTCCTTACACCAAATATAGTTGACCTATTGCAATTGCTAATAGTACTTGAAAAACAGACCAAAACACAAAAACTTAACATTGACCAATGAACCATGAAAATGAGGTCAAGCTCGGATGAAACCTGTGAGACTGACATGTACCAATTACAATCAATCCATACACCAAATTTAGTTGACCTACTGCCTATAGTATTTGAAAAACGTACCTAATCACGTTACTTTAACCTTGATCACTGATCCATTAAATGAGATCAAGGTCAGGTGAACTCTGTCTGACGTACATGTAGACATTGCAAGGAACCCATATACCAAATATACCGTATATCAGGTTTTTTTCGCGTGTGGTTAATTTTCACTTTGTTTGCGGCACCTAAAGAAACGCAAAAATTTGACCCTGCGTAAATTTCAGTGCATATTCCAAGATGTATGGATGTTTGAGTATTTTTGTGTTGTTCGACAGATCACAGGAATATGCAAACTTAATTAAGATCTCTGTTTTCATAATAATTAATTGGCTAACCATACCTTTTGACAACACAGCAATCAGTGACATGTTAAAAATGTTAATTAAAGACGTTCTATTTATTGGTGTCAATACCCAAACATTTTGCATGTAATGTAAAAATAAAATAAATCACATTTACACGGATATGTGTATACTAGTCATGATCAAAACCTTCAACTTTCATCATACTCCAATGTAAACATTTTACATTCCTTGACAGTGTATTTTCGTTTGTAGTACATTTGTGTACTCATATTTATTTGATATAGATTAACTGTTAAATGATTTAGTTTATGTTTTTTACAACTTTAACAATACTATACACAGTGTAAAATTAACCTGTCCATTTTGTCATCAAATCGTGAAAAAAAGCTGATGCAAAAAAAAAACGATACATGGTACTTATTCTATTACTCATAATAAGTGAGAAATTCACATGACAAAAAACCTCAAATTTTTTTTCAAGGAGTTGCTGAACCATGAAAATGAGGTCAAGGAAAATGGACATATGTTGGACGGAAACTTAATAACATAGGTATATATGAAGCATCCAGGTCTTTTACCGTCTGGAATTAAAGCTTTATACAAGTAATTTACGCTGCCTCCCCAGGATAGTAATACCTATGTCTCGCATACTGTGACAAAATCGCAGGCGATACAAAAAACTTATATCTGTATTTCAAATCTGTAAGATTTTTTTTCTTTCCCTACAAACCCTTTTAAAAATATCTTCATACATATATCATCTGTAAGTTAATTGTTCCTTAACTCTATTTATTATGATTTTACCCGGCAATACTTAAAAAAAGAATTGCAGTAAAATCGTTTTCTAACACTTCAACAAAAAGATATTGTTATAATTATCTGAAGGATGCATTTTTAAAGATCAATAGTATAATATAAGAACCCATAAACTTTTACTGTATATTTTCATATTTTCTCAGCATCATATTTCCACCTGGAACAGGGGTGTCTCAACATACAACTTTGGGTACAGACCTCTGGCTGAGGTTTGAAAACCATCCCCCATTCAGTTATAGTGGTTTGCGAAAATCCCTACATGGGGTTTAAAAACCACCCCCATTCGTATATAGTGGTTTGCGAAATCTCTACCCATTCATATATTTCATAGAAAAATCATAACCCATTGATATTATTTTCCAGCTATCAGAAATACAATCTATGACATCTTTGGATATAAACCACATGGGATCATTCATATTATTTAACAATAAAATGCTTCGCTGAGCGCAGCCTGATAAGACCGCAGAGGTCAACCCTGAACGGTTGGGGCAAATTTGGATATAATATTCAAGCTTGATACTGTCTGAATTTTGATTGTGATCAAATTTTTGACATAATATAGGTTTCTGACACAAAATTAATGTGGTAAAAGATCTTACAAATCTATTGCGCAATACTGTGCAAATGAAGATTACTTCTTGAAACTTTTACAAAATTTGAAATTTAAAAATTTTAAAAAAAAATATGAATTCCTTAAAAAAATTGGAACCCCCCCTTGCAACTTTTGGAATCCCCCTTAGAACAATTACCCCAAGACTCGATCCAATTCTTTCCTTTGTAGTATGGAACCTTGTAGTACAATTTCAGAGAGATCCATACACATCTAACACAAGTTATTGTTTGGAAACTAGAATAATGCATGTTTTTGGCCCCTTAAATTCCTACATGTTTGAGGCAATTACCCCTTAACTCAATCCCAGCCTTCCCTTTGTGATATGGAACCTTATGGTACAATATCAGAGAGATCCATACACTTACACACAAGTTATTGTCCGGAAACTACAAACATTGTTGTTTTTGGCCCCTTTTAGGCCCTTAATTCCTAAACTGTTTGCCACATACCCCCTAATATGAATCCCAACCTTCTACTTAACAATTGCCAATGATAAATCATAATAAGCTTAAGTTTACAAATTAAATATTCAAAAGAAATATTATGCATAAAGCATAAGTAAAAAAATAATATAAAATAAGATTCATTTTTCCATCTAAAATATCCTAAATATGGATAATTCATTATCAACATTTTTTTCTGTGGTATTCAAGGAGGACTGCATGATATTTTGGATGTGTTACAATCCCTCTGAAAATTCTCATTAACAATTGCAGGGGAATTTGTATCATCAATGATTAGCAAATGAATTATGCAAATTACAATATAATTGACTTTGCTTAAAAGGTGATTTCCGCAAAATATTAAGGGAAAAGACTTCATTTATATTTGATTATTCGGGGGTTAGCGCGAACGCAGTCCCCCACACTAAAAAATTGCGTACCCGAGATGCCCACATTTGGGGCATTCGCAAGCTTCAGCCTATCCGAAGTGCAATGGAAAGGCCTCGACCTGGGGAGACCGCCTTTTTGATCACGGTGCTCCCTGTACCAGGTAAGTATGCTTCAATGTAAAAATTTTAATCTTATAAATAATCAAATTATTTTATCACACAAGGTGTCAGATGAAAATTAAAAAACTGCAATGATAATTTAGTTACTCACAAATCAAAATATATAGAACTATATATGCATTCAATATAAAATTTAAGATATAATGGATTATTTGTCTTTTTTTTAAAACTCATTGTTAATGTTGTAATATTGATTTTAACAGGAAAATGTAAAAGATTAGTAACGACAACTCCACAGGTAAATATCATGTATGGTTTAATTTTAGTGGTATGTTTATCTGTTTATCTCATGTATTGTTTAGCCACTGGGGATATTTTGATAAATAATTTGTCATAAAAAATAATTAATAACTGTTACATTGAAAAGAGGTAACACACAAGTTATTGTCCGGAAACTACAAACATTGTTGTTTTTGGCCCCTTTTAGGCCCTTAATTCCTAAACTGTTTGCCACATACCCCCTAATATGAATCCCAACCTTCTACTTTCACATAAAACTAACTTTTTTCAAAAAAATATTGAGGGGTCATTTCTGGTTGGAATTTTTAGTTAACTAGACACCACTAGAAGTAAAATTGTCACTGGCTTATTTGTTTATTTGGTTATGTTTTTTTCTTGCAATGCATTATGAATTTCTGAAGATATTAACATGCACAAGTATCATTTTTTTCTCAAGAAATTAGCTATATAATTCAACCAAATTAAGTTG